TAATTTATTTCTGTCAAACAGTGACATTTATGAGCTTTTTTCAAATATGAATAAAGAACTCAATCACATCTCTAACTGGTTTAAGAGCAACAAGTTAACTTTAAACATTGAAAAAACAAAATGGATCCTTTTCCACTCTCTCGCAAAAAAGCATTTTTTACCAAATAGCTTACCTAAACTTTTTATTGATAAAATAGAAGTAAAAAAGTAGTCGGTCACAAGATTTTTAGGCATTTACATTGATAAAAATATTACACGGAAGTATCATATTGACTGTAGGAACAAAATTTATATTGGAGGGGGAGGGGGAGCAGTGCAGGATTAAGAGACCCCGAAATATTTTTAAGGACTTTTTTTTTTAATCGTTTTTTCACTCAATTTTTTTAAAATTATTTATTTGAAAAATTATAAGGGGGGGGGGAGACAAATGCCCCTGCTTCCCCTCCCCTCTCTCCCCTTGCCCCGGTTGCTACGGACCTGAGAAGAGGTAACATAGTGGTTTATCGATCATCTTTTTTTAGACTTATTTATCATGATTTAAATAATACGAAGAATATGTAAAAATACATATATTCTTCTATGAACAAAAAATAGAACTTATGTTTTAATATATTAACATATTAAAACATTCACTTCTTGTCCAATCAAGTCATGAACCTTAGTTAATTAACTGCATATTTTAGTGTAGACTGAACCAAACGTAAAAATATTTCAGTCTAAACACATTTAGTTTTAATAGTCGTACGAACAATTCGTGTTGAAAGATTATTGGATACAATAAAAACCCATTTAAAAAAAGATATAATGAAAAAAAAAAGATGTAATGAGAAAAAGATACAGTCAAAAAAAAAAACATACTACAAATATTGTAAAATAAAAATGAAAAAATGGAAAAGTAAACTAAAAACTTTTTAAAAACTAATTTAAACTTGTATCTAAGAATACCTTTTAAAATAACCGACTAGCTTATTTTCTTTGTTTGCATATACAATTTGATAGTGTCGTAGATTGAATATATTATTATTTTCATTATTTTTATCTAGTTTAATTACGGTCGTTTTCTCTTTTTACCTTTTAGAACTTAAATAATATACTTGTTTTTCATTTTTTACCAATATTTCGTTATAAAAAAATTAGAATTCAAAAAGTTTCAATCTTCCATAAACTTTTTTTTTTAAATATAAAAACGTCAAACTAATATCATTTATTTTTAAAGTAAAAAAAAATTTTTAAATTGTAAATTTAAAAGAAATATGTATTTTTTAAAACTTTTTTTTTTCTTCTTTAATTTCTTTTTATTTTTTAAGAAATATGTATTTTTTAAAACTTTTTTTTTCTTCTTTAATTTCTTTTTATTTTTTATTTTTTTTTAAAAAAATATTTGTTAAATTCATTTTCTTTTTAAACTCATCGTAGTTTGTTTAATTCATTCACATGATCACCTTTTTTGAATGCTGTTTGCTGTTTCATGTGGAAACTTTTAAAAAGGTTACTTCAATCTCTTATATTAAAGAAGTTTAACCCATCAAATCATTTCATTTATTGCATGGTAGTATAAGTATACTTTGTGTTGCATCAAGAAGCACGCCGTGTACAATGTCACACTCATTTTTAACAGTGTTACTTTTTTATATATATTATTATTTGTATTAAAAAAAAGTTTTCTTATTATTCTTATTATTTGCATTTGGTCTTTTATCCTTTTTGTGTAATACGAATCTTCTTTGTAAAACAATATATAGCAGCGAATTAGCTAACTCACAGTTTTGATTTTTATATATACAGTCATCAGAGTTTTACAGTTTTTTAGCTCTTTTTTCAAAATGAAACCAACTACACTGGTTGCAAAAGTCGTTACAAAAAGGTTTATTGCTCATCAAACGTGTAACATTTTGGTATTTTAAACCATATTGCACACCATACTATTATAAAGACAAAATTTGAGTTTATAATGTGCTGCACTGACTATAATTAATAAAACGTCTAAGACAGGCCTATGCATATATGATGAAACGTTTTATTTTTAAAGATTTTTTGTTTATTCCGCTTATTTTCTTCCTTAGCCAACATGATATTTGTTGCTACCGGTTTTTATCATCAAATAGGTTTTTTTCTTATGCTTAAAGTACACATCACACATATCCAACTTTTCGTTTTTTAAATTTCTCTTGTCCTTTATAAATTCTTGGTATGCCTAATATGTTTGCGTTTTAGATCGTACTTTTAATTATAGATGCTGTTTGCTTGTAGTTATCTACAAATAAAATAAAGGAAGCCTGAACAATGAAGCTGTAAAACTGGTTTTAGTCTATTATTTTAGTTCTCAATGGTTGGTTTTGTTTATTCTTTTTTAACAGTAACTGGATTTTTCACCTTATTTTTATAAAAATTGTCAAACCAGTATCATATTTCTAAATCTTTTAATTTTATATAAACTCAGTCTTTCTTTCGTGTTTTGGTTCGTAAATTTTCTCTAACAGCATTTAAAAGTGAGACAATCCTATTATTAGTATTACTTTTTAAATTAATAAATATTACAAACTTTTATTTAAACAATAGTAACTATTTTATTTATAAATAAAAAACAATGATAATAACAAGCAATATGCCCGTGGCAAAAACAGGCCATAGTACAATAGGTTGTAACACAATAATCTTCTTTTCTCTCCCCCCCCCCCCCCTCCTCTCTATCTGATTTTTAAGATCATTTTTACAATAAACTTCAAGAGTTATTGCGTTCAAGAGTTATTGCGTTCAAAGTTTACTGTGAGTAAAATGTGGTGGGGCTACAAGCAAACAGAATTACTAGGAGTAAAATATTATGATACAAGTAAAATGAGAGACATTACTGTGAGTAAAAAATTGACAAACAAACATAAAATTAGATAAAAGGAGGAGGAAGGAGCGATGGGAGGGTATTCTGCTATACACCTCCATTTGTTACACGGATATGTGTGGCAGAACAAATAAACACAACTTAAAACGAACAACCAAACAACAAAAATAAATGAACAATAGCTTATAAAAATAAATATTTAAGGTGGCTTTCTTTCTAAATATATTCGTGAGCACAAGTTAGACTGTTTTAAATAACAGCCGCAGCAGTATGAATCAGTCTCATGACGTATAAATATGTATAATGACAGGAGTTAAAACACCTTTGCTAAGTAAAGAAATTTGAAGTTTATTTATCTTTTATTTATCTATTTAATTTATGCACATATTAACCTATGTACATTTTAATCTACGAATATCAGTATACTATATGATAAGACTTTTAAAACAATTCTTTATTAAAAAAAAAATACAGTATAAAATTAAACTTAAAAAAAAAGAAAGAGCGATTTATTTGTGAAAGAGATCAATTATAAAAAATCATTGAAGCATTAATTGAATTATTGATAATAACAGATTTTCAATGAAAAAAAAGTCTTGTAAGCAAAAGAATACGTTTTTTGTGAAACATAAAAAAAAGTAAATCTTGATGAATTATTGTAACAACTACATTTATTGATTCCTTATGAGTGATTCTAAAGCCTCAAAGTTACTTTATACGTTTGAATCTGCTATTAGACAAGAATTTGATTCCAAAGTAAGCGAAGCAAACAATAAATGGAAAGAGATACAGTCCACCGTTCAAAATTTAAAAGCAGATGCAAGTGAAAACTTTAGAATAAAAGATCACTCTGGAAAAACAGATGAGATACATTATTGGAAAGATGTAAATACGAAAAGTTCATCTTAATGTTAATACATTTTTATATGTTTATATATATATATATATATATATATATATATATATATATATATATATATATATATATATATATATATATATATATATATATATATATATATATATATATATATATATATATATATATACAGATGTCTGAAAAAAAAAAATTTTTGAAAAATATGCGGTCAGCCCTTAATAGAACACACGTTCTATATTATAAAAAAAACACAATGGATTTAAAAAATTTTTAACAATTTTTTTTTAAAAAAGTTCCTAAAGATCTTTGAACATTTAATTAGTCCCTAATATTATTAGAAAATTTTTTAAAAGTTTATCATGTTGGGACTCAAATGAAGCGATATTGTATGAAACTTTCATATAAAATCGTTAAAAAAATTTCTGTTAAAAATTTTAGTAAAAATGCACTTTTTTTTGTTTTTAGTTAATAAACTTCATTTTTTATGCATTTAAATCTAATACATTTTATTTTCATATAATATAAGGATTATTTTTTTAAACTTTCATATAATTTCGCTTCATTTGAAACCCAACATAATACACTTGTTTTTTTTGATAATAAACTTGTTTAATGTTCAAGGGTCATGAGAGACCCCTAAAACATTTTTTTAAAAAAATTCTTTAAATCCAGTGTTATTTCATTATATAGAACACATTAGGAGGGTGAAAGCAAATCTTTTTCAAAAATATTGTTCTTTGGGACATAATAATATGTATATATATATATATATATATATATATATATATATATATATATATATATATATATATATATATATATATATATATATATATATATATATATATACATATATATATATATATATATATATATATATGTATATATATATATATATATATATATATATATATATATATATATATATATATATATATATATATATTTATATACATATATATATATTAAATATACTGTCCCAACACTTATACATATTTATACATTTATAGTCTTTTGTTATATTTTTGTTTAAATTATTTATTATTTACGCTTTATCATCAGTGGCGCTAAACTTAAATAAAAGAATTAATTAAGGGCTGAGAATTTTTATTTTTGAAAATGATTAAATAGGGTTTTTTGGTTCTATTTTTTTTTATATTTTTAATTTTCTTTTGCTACACCTTTTATTCTTTGTTACACATTTTTTTTAATTTTTTGTAATTGTTACTACTAAAACAAGAGCATGTTATGAAAACCTATTTATATCAAATTCTTTAATGTTAGAGGTATCAAAAAGAGTCAATGAAACGAGAAAAACTGCAAATAGAACTAAACAAGGTTTCCAATGAAATCGAGAAGCTTAAAAGAAAAATAGAGTCAACAATGTTGAGTAATGCCAATTTAAAAAAGCGCTTAGAAAACGAAACTGAAATAAAGTTGCTATTGGTTGACGAAATAATGAAAGAAAACAGCCGGTTTAATAAAATGTCAGCAGAAAATAAAATTGCTTGGTTAAATAAAATAAAAAAATCATCTAAAATAGAGTAAACTATATTTTTATATTAATTTTTTATAATATATATATTTATATGTAAAAGCTATGACCACTATTACGTTTAATTATAATTTACTATTTACGCTTCATTCACACTTATTTTTTAAACGAAATTCGAAAATTTTCAATGAATTTAATTGAAAATTTTTTTTCCCAACAAAAATTACTATTTAAATTATTACTTAATTTAAGTGGTAGTCGAAGGAGGCAGTAGTAAAAAGTGATCAAATAATATGGTTGAATTAAATTGCATTATAGTTTGGTTCATTCCATAAAAGCAAAAACTTCAAATTTTTACACTAATAATCTATAAATTTAGGAAAGGTCTATATTATTTCAAAAAACGCTTTAACCTTTCCGCTCCGAAGTACGCCTTTTGGCGTTCTCGCCAGTTCCGAAGTACGCCTTTTGACGTTTTTAAACATACCTATACATTTAACTCAAAAACTAAAGTTTGCATTGCATTTCTGACCATCGATTTCAAATCAATAGTCCACAGCAGTCCGAAAAAACAACAACTTCACACGTTTTTGTTATAAACTTTGCTTTTATTTTTACTTTGAAAACCAGTTACATATTGACTTCCTGAGGTCGCTGATTGACAAAATCCCTAGTTAAAAACATTATTGATCAGCTCAAAAATAGTATAAAAAATATTATTGATGAGCTCAAAAATAGTAAGAATAACGACTCTAATGTTAAATAACTGATTTCTCATGATTGTATATATATTTTTGTTCTATTTTTCTAACCTTAGAAAGTTAATTTAAGCTTATGACTTATGATTAAAATCTAAAATGTTTTTTATCTACCTTATTTTAGAGACATTATATATGCATAATTATATGTAAAAATTACTAACGAACATGTAATAAAGCTATATTTAATTTAGGTAAAACACAAGTAGGAGTAGTAAACATTTAATTAAGGTAAAACATAAGTAAAACACATTTCTACTCAATAGAAATGTATTTTCATGTTCGTAGTGGCAATATATTTTCAAAACAACAAGGTACTTTTTTGGTTTCTTAAATACTCATAGTTTTGCCAAAACAAGGACTACAATTTTTTCAAAATATATAAGAAATAGAAGTGCTATTAGAATATATTTTATTTATTCTAGTTAAAAATGCCTATGGAATGTTAAAAAGTTTTTCAATAACGAGTGCCTCGTTATTGAAAAAAGTGCTATGTAAAATATTTCTTAAAAAATAAAGGCTTTTAAGACCAACACTGTGAAAACATTATGATAGGTATGGTGTCAATCTATACAAGTTATGTTAATATACTCATTTCTCTTTCAGAAAAGCTTTACTTCAAGGTTCAGATATTACGATAACATAACAAAATTTTATTTTTAATATATCTACAACTTTAGCTAAAAATACTGCGCGCTGAGTGGTCAAATCTTAAAATGAAGCGGAGCAAAAGGGTTAACATAGAAAATTTTAAATTTTGAAATTGAAAAGTCAATGGAAAAGTCGTACCGTAGTAATTTAAATTCATTTAGTTAAAAGGCTACAAAGAATTCTGCAAGATTATAGTAAGCTAACTAAAATCAAATTAACAAATATTTTTGAAAATTTAACAAAACTTTGTTCTAAAAATGGTCGTTTTTATAGTATAATAAGAATTTTTTTTTTTTAAGTTAAAAAACATAAAAAATCAACGGAAACAATAAAAAATGAAGCAAATTAAACCTTGCTTAAAATTAATTTACACTGAAAACAAACAAAAATTGAATCTTGCTTGCAATTTCTTGATCAATTTACACTGAAACAAAAAAGAATTTGAAAAAAAAAAAAAAAAGATTAGATTTATTAAGAAATATTGGAATTTTTTTGCATAGTTTTTTTAAATGTAGATAAGTCCACAAATAAATGAATTCGCAACTAATAAGTAATTAAAAAAAATAATTATCGAATTTAATAAATAGTTAACACAAATAAATGCATGTATTTATACAAACCATTAAGTATTTTACACAAACTTAACTGAAAAAATTTTAACTAAAAAAATACTTACTAGAAAATTTAATAAATAAAATAAAAAATCTAGCAGAAAGAATAAATATAAGAATGAACAGTAGAAAATAAATTTATGACGTTGACTTTTTTTTATAAATTTTACATAAAAAAGTACGTGAGCCGTAAGTAAAAAAACTCTATAAAAACAAAACAAAACAAAACAAAACACTTATCATTTAAAAGCGTTGCAAAGACGGTATTTCTCTAGGTGATAATAGTACACAGGAGCTTTCTAAAACACCGTAAGACCAACGTTGTGTTTCGGAAAGGCCATTAACTAGCTTCTTTATACCTTTCCCGTGTTTTTGTCCGTGAGACCAAATGCCCTCATACGTTGTACCGTTTAAATATTTTTCTAATCCTTGTCCATTTCGCTAGTAAAAAAAAATATTTATAAACTTAAATATTGCGTATTAATAACTGTTTTTTTATTTAAAAAATTTACTTGCAAAAAATGTAAGTATAAACAAGCATATATATATATATATATATATATATATATATATATACACACACACACATATATATATATATACACACATATATATATATACACATATACACACACATATATATATATATATATATATATATATATATATATATATATATATATATATATATATATATATACACACACACATATATATATATATACACACATATATATATATATACACATATACACACACACATATATATATATATATATATATATATATATATATATATATATATATATATATATATATATATATATATATATATATATATATATATATAATAAATAAAACTACATATTTTTCAACTTAATTTTCAACAATCATTAGGTAAAAAAAATTTTTTTGTGGAAAAAAAAGACTATACAAGAAAAAAATGTTTTATTTATAAAAAATTTGTGTCGTTGACTTTGATTAAATCACCTTAAAGTCGACTAATCGAAAGTCGAAATTAGTCGACTTAATAATCAAACAGTCGATTTAATCGACTATGGAATTGATCCAATATGTATTATTCAATTTTAGTTGAGTTTAGTTGAGTAAAAATCGTCACAACATTATAAATATTATATAAATACAGCTCTGTTTTAACCTAATTTATTTTAATTTACTTCAATTCATCGAGCACTCTCCTGAAGATAAATCAATAAACCCATAAAAAATATATTGAAATTAAACCAATGGAAAAATATCGCTGAAAAAATATCGCTGTTATCAAATGATTCAAAAATATAAAAGAAAATAAATACTGCACTTTTATTCAACTTGACATCACCAAACTCTACCCTTCCACCACACGTATATATCCGCATTATACTGAAAAATTGTTTAACATTCACAAAACAACATATAATATTTAGCAAAGAAGAATTCAGAACAACCAACCATTGCAGAAAGTCCTTGTTGTTTTTCAACAATGAAACTTGGAAAAAAAAGTCAACTAATAACGGCTTTGACATCACAATGGGTTACTTTAATGGAGCTGAGGTTTGCGAGCTGGTAGGTCTGTATATATTAAACTGATTATCAGAAACCTTTACCAACAGCGATATGGACTTTTACCAAGACGATGGACTGGTAGTGATGCATAAAAAATCTGCCACACAGATATTGGGTCGTAACATAAGTTTGTAGAGTTTTGCGTTTGAGTTATTTTACAACGATTTGTTTTGTTTTTTAGCAAAGTGCATACATTCATTAGAAAGAGCTCTTTCTCGTCTACAAAACGGTTTTATTTGTTTTTATGGATAACTTAATTGTTCGTCTTTTTTCTGGCTCAGAAATGGAATACCCAGGAGGAAAAAATCAGCATTTTCGACATCTGCTTTTCTTTGCTTTTCATCAATGTCAAAAAGCAGCCGAAGCCGCTCGAGACATATGCAGTGTGTACGGGGAAGGTGTCTTAGGTGTGTCTACTGCACAAAAATGGTTCGCAAAGTTTAAAAATGGTGACTTTGACCTTGAAGACATGCCTTGAAGCGTACGATCTGAAGAATTTGACGAAGAGCATCTGAAGACGAAGAGCATCTGAAGGCACTATTGAAAGAAGATGGTTGCCAAACAACTCGTGAATTGGCTGAAAAAATGAACATCAGTGCAATGACAATCTCTCGCCACCTTCAATCAATTGGTTTTACTCAAAAACTCGGAGCATGGGTACCTCCTGAGCTCAACAAAGAAAACAAAGAAAAATGCCTTCAAATTGCTGCTCAACATCTTGCCCGCCACCAAGCAACACATGGACACAAACAGCGCTTTTGTATCGAATCATCACGGGAGATGAGAAATGGTGTCTGTACGTCAATGTAAAGCAAAGAAAGGAGGGGGTGGCCCCAAAAGAGACGCCGAGGCCAAGAGTCAAGCAAGATCTTCACTCAAAAAAGGCCATACTCTGCGTTTGGTGGGACTGGGAAGGCATGGTGCACTGGGAAATGCTCGAATGAAACGTCACTGTCAACAAGGAGGTCTACATTGCCCAGCTGAACCGTGTAAATGAGGCTATTTGGCTGAAAAAAACCGATAGACAAGGTCAAGTCATCTTGCTCCACAACAATGCCAAGCCCCATATTGCCCAACTCGTCAAAACGCACTCCAAGAGCTTGAATGGGAGGTTCTTCAGCATTCACCGTACTCTCCGGATCTTGCACCTACCAACTATCACCTTTTCCGCTCTCTATCAAACCAAATGAGGGGTGTTACCTTTGATGGCGAAGAGGATCTTAAAAACTGGCTCAACAACTTTTTCGACATCAGACCGACCGATTTTTGGCATAACAGCATCAACAAATTGGTCGAGAGATGAGAGGAGGTCTTAAACAGTAACGGAGAATAACATTGATTAATTTATTATTATAACTATTTTTTTTGTTCAAATAAATCTTTATGAAAAAACTCTACGAACTTTTGTTACAACCCAATAGATAGAATCTGAAAAAATGTAACATTGATTTTTAAATAAAAGCATTTTGACAAATATAGGCAAAACTTTCTTACAACTAATGGACAAAAACTTTCAATAACCAAATCCGATTCATATACTATTCAATGGCAATACAATAAAAGTCAGTTATAGCTCCACAAGCAACATAGCAAAAATTATAAAGAATCACAACAATAAAACTATTTTGATGAACCTAACTGCTATTTTAGCTGGCAATTGTAAACTAAATGAAACCTGCTAATGAACGGAGATTGTGGAGCTTCGTTAGTTGCCCTGCTTGCAAATGCTTAAACATTTGTTATAAATTACTTATATTATTTTTTTTATTAATATCCAGGTGCCGCCATGAGAACAAATTTTTGCTTGATAACCACAAATCAAAATATTTCTAACACATTTTTCTCTTGTACATAATTATTTTTCCACAAGAAAAAATCACATATTTTTGATGATTGCATTTAGCATAACTTAAAAGTAGTTATAAAAAAATGAAATTTAAAAGTAGCTAAAAAAAGGTTAAGATTAAGAACCCCACTCTAACTTACTTTAGTTTTATTAAGGAATTAGTTTTAGTGTTTGATTTAAAGCAATGTTTAATGAGAAAACTTTAAGATTTGCAGACAAATGTGTTGATATATACTATGTTTTCAAATCACTTTCAATCATGAAAAAATAAAAATAAAACAAATAATTAAAGAACAAGAATCCATACTAGATCTTCAATAAATTCCCCAACATAAGTTGAAAATTTTGTTACTTCAACACCTTTCCCTTCCTTTAAACCATTTGACCATTGACCTTGATTTTAAAAAAATTAGCTTATATAAATTTCTTACTAAAAATATTTCAAAAAAAATGTTAAAAAATACATACCATCATACTCATAGTTATTGGAGGGATCACATAATTTACATTGTCCTTCTTGCTAAAAAAAAAGCCATAAAAAAATATAAAATATATACGAGGTGTGTTCAAAAATTAAGGTGACTTTGTATTTTTAAGAGAAAATATTTATTTATCAATATTTATTTTGTCCCCTTTAAAGTAATCCCCCTCAGATACAATACACTTATGCCAACCGTTTTTCCAATCCTCAAAGCACTTCTCATAAGCACTTTTCGGTATAGCCTTGAGCTCTTCCAGCGATGCAGTCTTTATCTCTTCAATTGTTGCAAAATCTTCGTCCTTTCAAGGTTTCTTTAGTTTTGGGAACAAGAAAAAGTCACATTGGGCCAAATCCGGTGAATATGGTGGCTGAGGCATGATTGTGGTGTTGTTTTTGGCCAAAAAATCTCTCACAAGCAAAGATGAGTGAGCAGGGGCATTATCGTGATGCAAAAGCCATGAATTGTTTTTCCACAATTCTGGACATTTTCTTCGTATTGCTTCTCGCAAACGACGCATAACTTTAAGATAATACTGTTTATTGACCGTACAACCATATGGTAAGAACTCCTGATGCACCACGCCATGGTAATCAAAAAAAAACAGTGAGCAAAACTTTGACATTTGATCGAACTTGGCGTGCTTTTTTCGGTCTTGGCTCACCTGGGCTCTTCCATTGGGACGATTGGGCTTTGGTTTCAATATCATAACCATATATCCACAATTCGTCACCAGTTATGACCCTTTTGAGTAAATCTGGGTCATGGTTGACGTCATTCAACAGTTCTTGAGCAATGCTCATGTGACAGTTCTTTTGGTAAAAATTGAGCAATTTTGGAACAAAGTTCGCTGACACACGTTTCATGTCCAAAACGTTAGAAAAAATTTCATGGCACGAGCCAAGCGATATACCAACATCCTCAGCAACTTCTCTGATAGTGATTCGACAATTTTCCAAAACAATTTTCTTCACTGCTTGAACGTTTTCATCAGTTGTTGACGTGATTGGGCAACCAGAGCGAAGCTCGTCATTGGCATCTTCCCGGCCATCTTGAAAGAGTTTGTACCACTTGTAAACATTTTTTTTACTCAGAACATTTTCACTGTATGCCACTGTCAACATTTCAAGTGTTTTGGAGCACTTTATTTTATTTTTTACACAAAATTTGATACAAATCTTTTGATCCATACTTTTTAACAGCAAAAAATCGCACTTATAACCTTTACGCCTCTCCCAACCAAACAAAAAATGCTATACACTTGAAACTTGGTACAGATGATATATATATATATATTATATATATATATATATATATATATATATATATATATATATATATATACACAACCCTCGGAATTAGGAAAAATAAGGTCGGCAAAAGTTATTTGTTACAAAGGTCGGACCATAAAACAGAGAAGTGAGATCGGCAATTTTTTGCCAACCTCAAACACTTTCAGGTCGGCATTGCTGAATGCGGACTCTAATTTCAAGGGTTGTATTTATATATATATATTTACATATACATATATATATATATATATATATATATATATATATATATATATATATATATATATATAAATAGTACTGCATACAATTGTAAGCAATCTGATGTCATATAGAAATAGCCTGCTGCTAAGGGCTTCAGTACATACATCGACTGACAAATAGCCTGACTTGCAGTGGAGTGCTGCTACATCGACTGAGGGTTTGGGATGGGGAAGCAATCATTTCATTCATCATTCTTCGTTTTTTCTTCTTTTTCGAAAAAAACGGTATAGCACCAGGTAAGCAGAAAAAGTGAGCAAATGCTTATTAAAACACGCTTTAGTAAGTGTGTATATATATATATATATATATATATATATATATATATATATATATATATATATATATATATATATATATACATATATATATATATATAAATTAGTAGAAAATCACTTGACAAAAAAATTTAAAAATATATATATATATATATATATATATATATATATATATATATATATATATATATATATACACATTGGATAATACTGGCTTTCCCATAGGCTGTTAGTTAAAAAAATGTATAGAGACGCTAAAATCGCAATTTTTTTATTACTGCCACGTTATAACTTATATGCATGTGTAAATAAGCTCTGCTGTAGATATAAGTAAGCTATTTCATTTTTCTTTAACATTTATAAGTAACTTAGTTTTAGTTTAAGTACTATCTATAACCAAAAATAGGTCAAATAATCGCTTCATGGCAAGGAAAACAAACATATTTTAAAAGGCAGTCCGAGGCAAAATGATAGGGGCAAGATAGTGAGCTCGTCATCTTGCCCTGTGTTTTGAAATTTTTAAAAACTAACTATGATTATTATCCAGAAGTTAAATTAAATTTAACATTTAAATCAAATTTAAAATAAATTTTGAACTGATTTTAAGAAAAATATTAATTTGAACATTATAATTAATTGACCTAACCTCTGAGTTTAAATTCTGTTATTAAACCTCAAATATGCCACTTCATGAAAGAAGATTTTGAAAAGTCTTCAATGCTTTAATGCTACACAACAGGAAGATTTAAAATCCTGCATAACAGCAATTGACAAAATATTTTTTGGATTAATAAAAAAACACTGTAGAAAACTAATGTTTGACTTTGCTGAGGAATATGGTATTTCGTATCCGTTCAATAAGGATACAAAGATGGTGGAAGGATATTGGCTGGCTAATTTTACAGAGAAATATAAACTTGGTGTACGCAAAACAGAAGCAAGGTCAATTGCTAGAGCATTGGATTTCAATAAACCAAGTGTAGACAAGTCTTTCAACATTTTAAGGGTACAACGATAAAAATATAAATTCCCTGCTTTTTCAATCTACAGATAAGTCCATTGGGCTTAATAAGCTGTTACCATAGCTACCCATAGTTCTCAGTCCTATAGGATCTAGAAGAGTTTCTAAAACTGTTTCAGTAGAAAAAGGAAGAAATGTAACTATCATTTGTTGCATTGGCGCTACTGGCTTTTACCTGCCAGCTTTTCTGATTTTTGCCAGAAAATAAATGTTTCCTGAACTTGTAGAAAAAGCCCCACCAGCCATTGTTGGGATAAAAGCTGGAGCAACAATAGAAACTTTTTAATTATTTTTAAAGAAATTTTATCTATACATGAAACCAAGCAAAAAATCTCTGCTATATCTTATTATACTGCAAAGAGAAAAATATCTTCATGGTTGGGTTGCTGCCCCACGCATCACATCATCTCCAACCCCATGATATGTCATTTTTTGGCCCATTAAAGACCTACTATAGCCAAGCATGTGACAACTTTATGGTCACTCATCTAGGAGAACCCATCACAGACAAAAATATTGATGATCTTTTGAACACTGTTTACTTAAAAGCAGCTACAGTTGGAAATACTGTTAATGGGTTTAAAGAATGAGGGATCAAGTCTTAAAATCTACTTGTATTTAGCAAACATGCTGTAAAAACTACTGACCATGACATTGTTGGTGATGAAACTGAGAAAAATAATGTTAATCCTTTGACCCAAGTAGAAGAAAACCACTATATAAATCTTCCAGAAGAACATATAGCAATCGCTAACACCAAAAAAGTCTGTTAGAGTTTTTGATTTTTAAAGCATTGCCTAAAGCAAAAGAATGTTAGAAAAAACTAAAAAGCCAAAAAATGAGCTCAAACATTCTTACAAGTACACCCTTCAAAGAACTGTTAAAACAAAGAAAAAAGCAGAAAGAAGAGCAAGAAAGTCTAGAAAAAAAAAAGAAAAAGAAAAGAAGCTTGTGAAGCTAAAAAGGGTGCAAATTAGGGTGGGTCATATTTTTTTAATTTATTGTAACCATTACAAAAAGTTGCTATGAAAAAAATGAAAATTGGAGCTTCCTTCAACATCTTAGTAGGGCAACTTTTGTTTAAACTTTTTAAATAACGCTTTTCTACATAGTTCGAATTCATCAATAATTCAAATGATATATTTCAAATTTTATTTAATCAACTATACCCATATTTGACATTGACACTATTTCTAATTTCATTTTTACTTTATCACTGTACTATTGCCTAAGATTGGTGAATTATAATCGTACGTGCTAGATGTCACGTAAAGAAGTGCGTTAAAGTTCACGCATATTTTTATGATTACTTTTAAGGGCTATTTTAATGACTGTTGTAATTAAAGAATTGTCATGGGAGTTTTAATTTATGTATATGTATAAGATTTTATGTAATGAATGTGATAGAATCAATTAGTATCAGGTTGTTGTTTTTAAATATATAATCGCGATAATACAACACTCACAATATTGCGTGTTGCATTATAGTGTTCTGAATGCAAAATTAATATTGAAATATGCATGCTTTAAATACATTTTGATTGTTAAAGTTTAACACATTGTAGAATTGTTTGAATGTTTGCGTATTGATTTGTTGGCACCTGATATTTTCAATCACAAGAGAACATGACTTTTTTTAACTTTTTTTTTTTAATGTGGATTTCGATTGGTTTTTTATTCTTACTTTTTTAGATTGCATAATGAACTTGAAGGAAAAGTTTATCAAAACCAGAAGTGACACAGAACATTCAATACTTGGCCAACCTTGTAAACTTCCAGAAAGTCAATTGCAGAAAAAACAAAAGCAGATGCCATTAAGCATTATCTATACATCAGACATGCAAAGACTTTCTCACAATCCTTAGACTCTGAAGAACCATCAATCAGAGACATAAATAAGATACTAGCTGATAATTTGGTAAACATATGATTAAGGGTGTGGTTGCCAACAATTTTATATAACAGCATACTGAAAAGCTTGGATAAATTGGTTACTGATACAAAATGATTGAAGAAATATGTTGATGAAATAAGAAATTTATCTATGTTTCAGGACCTACTTGGTTCATTCCATAAAGTATTTGACATTTGTCCTTGTAAATGTGTTAATCATTGTTTACTTGAAAATCTATAATAACGTATTTTTTTGCGTCATTTGAATGAGCTGTATTTAAATCCTTATCTGTAACTATTTTTAGTAAAATAACAACAAACACTTTAACATTACATTACATTAGGCTTAGTTTGATAGTTTGTAAGGTGTAAAAACAAAGTTATCATTTGTTAAACCATGTAACATATTTAAAAGATAAAATATGTTAAACTATTTTCAGTGTTTTCATCATACCAAGAAAAAATAACTTTTTCTATTTTTAGTTGAAGCTTGCCTTCTCTTTTTAGTTGTAGGTCAAAATTTTGTTGTCATTTTGTCATTATTGTCAATTTGTCAATGTCAATTAGTCAAATTTTGTTGTCAACTCAAATTTCTATGAGTTTCAGTACATGATTTTATTGATTTTTTTGTTTAAGTAAAAGATCGATTATGTAAACAAACAAAAAAGTCAATGATGTCATGTACTTAAACTCTTAGGAATAAAAAGCGCTTGAATAAATTATCAAGTCTGTAGATTGCAGCGTATAATATGCTGACTTTTTATCCTATGACAAAATAGAAAAGGTGACCTTCAACTAAAATAAAAAAGTTAGTTTTTCTTGGTATGCATTTATTCTTTTGCTTTAATCAAAAAAATTGAGCCCAAACATTTTTAGTATCATTCTCTTTAATATGAATATAACATGTCTCAGAGGTTTGGGATATATATATTATATATATATATATATATATATATATATATATATATATATATATATATATATATATATATATATATATATATATATATATATATATTATATATATATATATATATATATATATATATATATATATATATATATATATATATATATATATATATATATATATATATATATATATATATATATATATATATATATATATATAAATTAACATAAAAAAATCTAACAGGTTTTATGTTTCAGATATGACACTTTCATGCAATGTGCTAACTCCAAACTTAAGTAAGTACACCTATATATGTAAGTACGCCTATATTTTATGTCAGTGGTAGAGGCCTGGAAACAAAAAAACTTTATACGTTTGACCCCCTGTCTAAATGTGAGGGCAGTGTGTTGTAAAATTTTTAACTTTACTATCTTAAACTAAATTTAAATCAATAGGTTTAAAATTTCAATCAAAAATATTGTAAACTGCGTAAGTTATGGCCATGCAAAATTTCTGACCCCCCCAAAATGAAGGGGTTATAAGTTTTGCATGATCCTAACTTTTGCAATTTTCAATATTTTTGAATGAAGTTTGAATTTAAAACCTGTCAATAAATTTAAATTTAGTTTAAGATAGTAAAGTTTTAAACTTAGATAAAACTCAATTTTTATTCAGCTAATCAATATCGTAATAATCTAGATCTTCCTATATTTATGAACGGTAATGTACTCAATGAGTCATTTACCCTTTGTCTTCTTGAACTTATACTTCCGATCAAAAAATATTGTGCGGCTGCAATTTCCAATCATAACAATAACTTTCATCTATCAGAAAAATAATTCTCCATAAAACAGACATTCATTTACTACTGCTGGGACCATTGTAAAACAGTTTTGTCTAAGGCCAAGGCCCACTATTCTCAGGTCATGAAATCTCCTATTACATCTCAAAAATTAGGCTCATAAATTTTACAGAACCTTTAACAGTATCTATAACAAGGGTAAATCGTCTATTCCACCTCTCTAGTATAGTTCAGATTTTGTCACCTCACCTAAAGACAAAGCTGAATTGTTTGCTAGAAACTTTTAATCAATATCATCTTTAACAGTATCTATAACAAGGGTAAATCGTCTATTCCACCTCTCTAGTATAGTTCAGATTTTGTCACCTCACCTAAAGACAAAGCTGAATTGTTTGCTAGAAACTTTTCATCAATATCATCTCTTGATTCCACTAGTCATGTTCTACCTGATACAGCCAAAACACAGGTCAACCCATTGCCTGACCTTCGTATCACTCCGGATTTGTATCTTAAGTGAGTTCTTGCTTAGACTCTTCTACAGCTTGTGGTCTAGACAACAGATATGTTGTCCGAACCATATAGTCTTGCAGAAGTGTTCTTCTGAGCTGTCATCTATACTTTTAAAACAATTTAAAAAGTGCTTATCAGAGTCTTGTTTTCCAGCCTGCTGGAGAAGCAATCTGACTTATCTAACTACCATCCCACTTTTTTTCTTCCTATCATAAGCAAGGTTTTTGAATCTTTAATTAACAAACACATAACCTCTCATCTTGAATCTAATAACTTTCTGATCATCAATATGGATTTCGATCTTTTTGTTCTACTTTTTTTATCGGTAATTTCTGATATATGTGGAGAGGCTAAGGCTATCGTTCTCAACATTTCTAAATGTACTTGATGAGTCACATACCCATCATCTGCTAGGGTTAAGTCTTATTTCCAATATTTCTTGGAAACCATATACTAAATTGATTGAAAAATTAGCATCTGCTAAGGTTCCATCTCTTTATCATGCCCATCTGTATCATGCTCGCTTTAATTACTATAACACTTTAATAATTAAAAAAATTTAAATTAAACCTGATTTTTACTATATGAAATCATAAGTTATACAAATTAATTTAATTTGCAGGATAGTCTGGGCAATCACAAGAATAAATAGTCAAACCTTTGATTAAGCTGTATTTTTTTAAATTCTTTTTAGGATATAACTACAACAATAACCCACTAATAGCTGCTGTATGGCTTGCCAATATATAGGTACTACATAGCCTATGGGGTATCCGCCCACTACATAGCTATTATACAACAATTATATAGCTACTACATAACCTGTTATAAACCAACTACATAACCAACTAATAGCTACTACATAGCCAGCTACATATCTACTACATAGTATTTTACCTGTATCATAGCTACTACATAAGCATGTAGCCCCTAACATGCCTATATATAAAATACTATATTCAATATGTTATAAATGTGCAACTTTTATTATGATATTGTGAACTCATTGCATAAATTGCAATGGCATTTTTTTTATTATTAAAAAACACTTTTTTTTCATTAAAACAAAAATAAATCTTTATTAAACTAATCATTATTTTTTTATTTTTTTGTTCCTTTTTAGATTATAAACAAAGTTAGTTTTTTACTTTTTCTCTATGCAACATAGTTTTCAACTTTAACTCAAAAGCAAAAATGTCCACAGCCAAATAACTGCTATGTTTCTCTCTCTCTCTCTCTCTCTCTCTCTCTCTCTCTCTCTCTCTCTCTCTCTCTCTCTCTCTCTCTCTCTCTCTTTTAAAGAGTGCGTTAATAAGCCTGACCAGAAAATGTTAAAAAACTTCAGAAAAATCTTTTTTTTTTTTTAAATGATAGACTGCCTGCTCAAACCAAACCCTCAGTCGATGTATCAGCAATCCCATGCGAGTCAGGCTATTTGTCAGTTGATGTAGCAGCACTCCCTTGCGAGTCAAGCTATTTGTCAGTCGATGTAGCAGCACTCCCTTGCGAGTCAGGCTATTCGTCAGTCGATGTAGCAGCACTCTGTTGCGAGTCAGGCTATAAGATAGTCAATGTAGCAACACTCCCTTGTAGCAGCAGGCTATAAGATAGTCGATGTAGTATAAACTTACGCATGTTTTAAAAATGTTTTTAAATAAAACAAAAACACCACTAATTAAAAAAAACTTTCTAGTCATTATTATTTCTGCTGTTTTTTTTAAAAACAATAAAATTTAATGTACTTCCGCATAAATTTAATTGCTTTGACATTTTGACGACATTAAAATGCAGCTTAAGAGACAAGTAAAAAAATTGTAGTCGAAAGAGACTTTTTTAACCATAAAAGTCTCTTTTGACTACACTATAAGGATATATGTATATATATTTACATATATATATATATATATATATATATATATATATATATATATATATATATATATATATATATATATATATATACATACTATTTATATATACATATATACATACTATATATATATACATACATATATATATACATACATACATATATATATACATATATACTTATATACATTATTTATATATATATATATATATATATATATATATATATATATATATATATATATATATATATATATATATATATATATATATATATATACACACACACATATATATATTTAAAAATACAAACCTTGCCCTGCACCCAGTTCCCATCGCATGACCAACCACTGGCCTTAGTTAAAATTCCTTTACCATTAGGAAAATTGTCTTTCCATGCTCCTAACCATATAAAAAGAGTTTTGAACATAAATAGAAAAGATTTTAAAAACCATGTTACACAGCATAATTTTATCTTAATACAGTTTAATATTAAAGTTATAAAATACCTGTGTAACAAGTTCCCCCAGGATACTTTACTTTGCCATGGCCACACATCTTTAAATAAATAAAAATAATTAACTACACTCCACAAGAAACTTTAATAAAATATAATTGTTGCAGAATTTTTTTATGGTTGCTGTGCACATATATTTGATCAAGCATAATGGATTTTTGAAATTAATATTGCCTACATTTATAACAATACATAATAAAAGTAAAAAAAAAACCTTATTATTATCCCATTCACCGTCATAAGTAGAACCATCTTTATACTCAATAACTCCAGTGCCATGCATTAGATCATTTTGCCATTGTCCTCTATAAAACCCACCATAATTGTAGAATAATACTCCTTGACCTATTCTCTAACAAAGAAAATTAATAATCATAAATGTTTATAATTAATAACCAGAAATTTATTAATTATATGCAATTATAATTGTTAAATTATTAATCACAAATTTAGTAATTTTATGCAAATAAGAACATATTGGTTATTTGATGCTAAGTGAAGTATAGGTACACAATGGACTAATTTAGATTTTGCTGAAATTTTTTGATATAGTATATATATGATAAACGCATGTTTTAAAAATTTTAAATCAATACCTAATACGGTTCTTGAGAAAACACTATTTAAGTTATGGTCTAATTTATATAAAATTTTCTCTCAAGTAAAAAGTTTTCTTTTAATCATTAACAGCTAAGAACTTTTGGACAAGTTGTTTTTATACTTGAATATTTTAAGATAATTAAAAAAAAAAAATTTAAAATCTAGCATTTCAATTTTTTCCATATTAAGTTAATTTTGTGATTTAATTGAATTAAGTGATTTTAAAGAGCTTAATCTTTAAAACTAGATTAATAATCAAAACAAAAATGGATTTGAGATTTATAGAGATAAAGAATGGAATCTGGAGTAAGAAAGTGTCAAGCCCGATAAAAAGATGCAACCTTAGCAGATGCTAACTTTGTAATGGATTTGATATAAAATGTTCTTATTATTTTTGAAATTTTTTTTAAAATTTCACTTCTTTTGAGACCCAACATGATATACTTTTAAAGAACTTTTTTATCAAAATATTAGTTTGATGTTTAAGGGTCTTGAGAAAAATTTTTTTTTAATTTAGTGTTAATTTATTACATAGAACACATTTAGGGGGTGGCAGAAGACAATTTCAATATATATATATATATATATATATATATATATATATATATATATATATATATATATATATATATATATATATATATATATATATATATATATATATATATATATATATATATATATATATATACATTGGAGCACTTATGAACAGTCACAGAAAAAGGATGAGACTTAATTGAATGACAAGTAACAAGAGAATGAATTTTAGTAGATGGCACAAGAGACACTAGCTCTTTAGAGCAGTGCCCATTATAGCATTTGTAGAAAAGAGAAAGAGAATCAAAATAGTGACAATTGAATAATGGTTAAAGGTTGGCTGCAAGAGTGGGTCCAACTATGTTTACAATGCGTTTTTGTACCTCGTCTAAAAGAGAAAGGGCATCATTGGAAAATCCGCCCCAGATATGGCAACAGTATTCCATACAAAAATGGATTTGAGATTTATAGAGATAAAGAATGGAATCCGGAGTAAGAAAGTGTCAAGCCCGATAAAAAGATGCAACCTTAGCAGATGCTAATTTTGTAATGGATTTGATATATGATTTCCAAGAAAGATTGGAGGTAAGAATTAATCTTAGAAGATGAAAGGTAGATGACTCATTGAGTACATTACTGTTCATAAATATAGTTCTAAATTATTGTGATAACAATTGGCTGGGATTGAACCTTGAGGAAGCTAGCAATAGGACCAAGGATTGAACCTTGAGGAACCCCTGCTGTCCATTAAGGACAACTTTTATACTACGATTGGAAAGGAAAGATTCAATAATCTTAAAGATGTTGCCAGATACACCATATGAAGAAAGCTTATGGAGAAGACCAGCATGCCAAACTTTATCAAAAGCATTAGAAACGTCAAGAGTGATGGCCTTAACCTCTCCACCTTTATCTAATGCACAATAAAACATATCGGTTATAACTGATAGTAAATCAGCTGTAGAACAAAAAGATCAAAATCCATACTGATGATCAGAAAGTAAGTTATTAGATTCAAGATGAGAGATTAAGTGTTTGTTAATTATAGATTAAAAAACCTTGCTTATGATAGGAAGAAGACTAATGGGACAGTAGTTAGATGAATCAGATCGCTCTCAAGAATTTTTGAAAATAGGGATAACAGATGCTGCTTTCCAGCAGACTGGAAAACAAGACTCTGACAAACACTTGTTCAATAGTTTTGAAAGTATAGACGACAGCTCTGGAGAACACTTCTGCAAGACTATAACAGGTATGTTGTCCGGGCCACAAGCTGTAGTGTAGAGTCGAATCAGGAAATCACATACAGAACTCTGGAGTGATACGAATGTCAAACAATGGATCAACCTAGAACGCAACTAGTGGAATCAAGAGATGTTATTGATGAAAAGTTCTTAGCAAACAATTCAGCTTTGTCTTTAGGTGAGGTAACAAAGTCTGAACCATACAAGAGAGGTGAAATTACAGATTTGCCCTTATTATTGATACTATTAAAAATTCTTCAAAAGCCACCAAAGTCTGATTTTTTTGATGCAATACAAGATTTCATGACCTGAGAATAGCAGGCTTTGGTGTTAGACAAAACCCTTTTGCAATGGTTTCTAGCAGTAATAAACAGATGTCTGTTTCCTGAAGAATTGTTCTGCTGATAGATATGGAAGTAAAAATTTCAATTGGCAATTACAGCAGCACGATTTAAGGAAAACCATGGAGAAGAGTGAAGCTTGACCTGGAATCGTCAAGAGGGAATAAAAAATGTCAACAGGAAGACGAAAGATTTCTACCCAAAGGCCATCACGAAGAAAGTCATGGAAAGAATCTCAGTCAGCTTTAAGGTAGTTGTAAGAGGTACAATGATAGGGGGATTCAGTTGATGAAAAAGAATGAGATAATAGTTTTAGAGAGATCAAACTGTGATCAGAAGCACCAAGGGTGAATGTGGAGAAATGGGTATGGGTGAATTCTTACCAATGTTAATGCCCAGGACAAGCATGTGATTATTGGAGTCTTTATGAATTAAAGTAAGATAATCGTCAACACTGAGATCACAAGATGAGACAGCTGAACTCAAATTAGTCTCACAAAGAGCAAATAGGTCTGGTGAACTTTGCATGAGATAAGATTCAACAGAAGAAAAAGTACTTCAAAGACCACGAATATTAGTGAATGATAGATTTAGAGAACTTGGTGATGACAATGGTTTTTTGAGTTTTATAATTTTTGGCACTGTATTCATTTTAAAATTTGTTAAAGAACTTGACTCAAAGCATAGATAGTACTTAGTACACTGTTCAATAGCCCAACCAATTGCCTCATTACTATTAATAACCCTAAGCTGTAATAAAGGGCTCCAAATGTGGCCTTGGAAATGCACACCAAAAGTACAAACAGGGACACCTGATTGATGGAATCAGCTTCACTGAGAGCTACCTCACAGTTCGGGAAACCTGACTACCAACCTCAGAACCATAAACTGAGTTTTAGAGTATAAAGATGAAATTATGCTTCAACTGATTGAAAACATGGGCTATAATTATATTAAAAGACCTGTGGGAGAACGCCTGAATCTGAAGTATACCATATAAACAGTCAAACATCCTCCATCAGTTATGGTATAAGGAGCAGCATAAGGTCACCATGCCTTTCACATCTTTAAAAAAGGCAAAAAATTCAATGCACAAAAGTATCTATGTGTATTGAAAAATATAATAAAACTACATTTGGATATTACCAAAACCAGCATATTTCAACAAGATTTAGCATCATGTTACACAGCTAAAAAAATTAAGAAGTTGTTTACTGATATAATACTGAATTATTTTCCTATTGGCCCTTAATTTCATCCAACCTTAATGTTATCAAGAACTGCTGAAATATTATCTCCAAAAAGTTCTAAATAGTGTCAGGGATTTTTTTCACCCCATAAATGTTTTTATTTCAATCTAAAAAAACTGGTAAAAAATTAGAATAAGGTGTTTAGAACAGCTAAGAAACCTTTTAAAAAACAATTAAAACTAAAAAAAAAGTTATGATGCAATCAGAACAACTGAATGGCTGATGCAATACCCCTATTTCGGGTGTTTTTAGTGTTTAGTCTTCAAATTTTGGTCATGTTTGATAGTTGAAATTTGGAACACTTAGCCATGAATGTCTATTCTATCAGTTTCCTACGTTATCCTGGTGATTTTCCTACAAAAAGACTGTTTTTAAAGCATTTATACTTTTTAATTTATCGTTTTTATATGCAAAACGTAACTTTTTTGATTAATGACGTAAATTAAAGAAATTTCAACCTTTTATGCAAACAAAATAAAAAAATTATTTTATGTACCTTCAGCTATGTTATCAAAAATGTTTACAAAAATATCATGTTTTACAACAAATCTTGTTAGTTTTAGGTGTACATTTGTGTTGACATTTTATTGCGATGACGTTACCTTTATGGGTTACATTCCAAACTATTTATTAACAAATTTTGTCAAAACAACTGTTTTGGCGAGTCAATTTTTGAAGTATAAAGTAAACTAAGTTACGCAGAGTTTTTCTCAGATAAGTTGTTAAATCCGTATTAATCTAGTGCATTTATTTGTTTATTAATATTATTTTATTTATTTGTATTATATTTAATACGAAGTCAATTTTATTTTAATATTTATGTATTCAACTGAGAGGAAAATTTTGAAACAACACATTGGATGGGAACAAATAATTAAGGCAGATAAGATCACTAACAGTGTCATTTCCATTTTAATGACAGTCTTTAAAATAAAGAGGCAAGTTATTTAGTTATGAGCTTTCTTTTGCCAATTGATTTTGATTTCTGGTAATGGCAAGTTTCAAAAATGTGCCTGAAGTTAACACGCCAAAAAAAGAAATATAAAAAAATTTTGTTTTGATTTTAAGCTATAAGGCAAAATAGTCATGTTATTCTTAGGTAGAAGTTTCCATTTCATCGATGGTGTTCTGGGACACCATGGTTCAGCTGCTAGCTTTCCTAGTTCTACAGACCTAGTTGAGTAGAGTTCTCTAAGAAACCATGCTTCTAAGCTTCACACACTAGCTAATTGTAACATTAAGGAGGACAACACAATCTCTGGAAAGTGCTTACAAAGAGAACTTCTATGAAGATAGACAAGGTGGAAACTTAAGAGCTCTAGGTAAGTTTCATAATTCAGTTATTGCTCCTGTAATTTTCCCCATAATAACTTTAGATAATGTAGTGCCATCTGTTTTGTATATTATGTTAAAAGTTGTGTTAAAACTGCAAAAGTGATTGTTGAAGGAGTGTAAGACTTTAGATTGTCAAGCCGATTCTTCTTTGTTGCATAATGAGATGTGAGAACGAATGAATTGTGGGGTGCTAAAAGCATTGAATGTTCTAAAACAGCAGAAGTTTTGCATTTATTAGGAAATCAACTTGTAGGTAAAGCAAATCTACCGGCGGATTGGTTAGCTTTTAATAAAAAAATTTCTGAATTAGAATGCATATCCCTAAACTTCTCCAATAAAAAAACCTGTAAACAGTAAAGAAAAGTGTGCTAGTACCAGTTGTTTAATTACAATTTATGATTGTAACATTAATTGGGTGCAGTACATGACAAAAAATGGTTTCATCAATTTTGTGAAATTATTGGTGATTCTTGAAAAAGTGAGATAGAAGTACGAGTGTTTAGCATGAAAGGGTGAAGATATAGAATGTCTTGACTTATATATTTAAAAACTTATATACTGAAAAAATTTCATTTATACATGCACAATGCGAAGTTTTAGATTAGAAGTTTTATTCATAAAACTTCTAGTCTAAAACTTCGCATTGTGCATGTATAAAAGAAATTTTTTCAGTATATAAAATATACATAAAATATATTCATAAAACTTCGTTTTAACTAGAAGTTAAAACAAAGTTTTATAAATATATTTGATTGCAGATGGAGTATGGAGACCTAATTCATTTTATAGACAAGGTCTTTGCCTTGTTTGTGGTCAACAAATTTACTTTAAATATTTAAAAAATTAAAAAAAAAAAAACTTTTTACATCTAAGATAAATAATATAAGATTCTTAATTTATAAATAGGAGAATTTTATTCTGTCTTAATATGTGTAATGTTTGTTTAAAATATTTATAATTTTTATTATATTGATTTTATATATTATGTAGGTGCCCATTCTATTCCAATCTTCAGAAGTTAATTATACCTATGCAATACCTTCACTCAGGTTTAAGAATAGAATATAAATCAGGTTTAAGTCTAGCATCAAATGTTTGTAAAAATAGCTTACTATTTTAACTTGTGATCAGAGCAACTGGTATGTTTGTTGGGTATGATCTTGTATGTTTATGTAGTTAATTTAAAAAATACATTGACTTTCATTATATGTAACATTTTTTTAATATATTAGATGTTCATTTGATCATTATCATCAGAAGTTAGTTTTACCTTGGTTAAAGAATGGAATATAAGTCTCATATATATCAAGTTGGTGTAAAAATTTTGTTTAATAAATTAAGAATTTGTAAACGTTATTGTCATAATTTTGAGTTGAGCAATTGTTCTTCTGGTTTAGAATGAAGTATGAATCAACTGGGTATACTAAGATAGTTTATCACTTAAAGAACTTATCAATGGACCAACTGACTATAAAACAATTTTTTATGATAATAAAAATGAACTATCAAAAGATTTAAGTTAGCTATTTGTATATTTAAACAAACACTTTGTTTTTTGTGAGAAGAAATTATTTATTTAAGTGTCATAAAATAATTCTACTACCAAAAGCAAGGTTAGTTAAAAAACTTTAACTAAATTTTAGTCATGAGTTACTTTATTAGACTCGGTGATTCTTTATTTATTAACAACCTAACACCATCTTATTAGAACTGTATGCACAGAAATAAAAAGCTCAAGTTTTTTTAAATACTTTAAACTAAATACTCCAAAATCGAAATCTTTATTTTATAATGTAATGAATTTATCATCTTAGTGATATTAATTTCTAAAATAAGAACTTCTAGATTTAAAAACGCACTCATTTAACAGCTAATCCCCCTTTTAACAAAATTTTTCGTAACTTTGTGAAAGTTGCGGTTTGCTTTCAGGCTTCAATAAAGTCTGTTTTAGTTAACCTTTAACAATTAAATAAGGTTTTTTTTGTTTTTATAATTACTAAACAATGAGTGCATTTGATAATAACTATCATAAATAATTTTTCTGATTTTTTTTTGATAAAAAGTAACATCAAACTACTAAAATTCAGCCAAGTCCATCATTTGTTGCATTTATTCTAAACTAAAAGAGATTTTTACTAATGCATTAAATGTCTTAAGACAAAACATTTTATTGGTGTTTTTATTCTTTTTACAAAACAAAATTTCCTCCAATATTTCAAAAGTTATAAATGTTTTAGTAAAACTCCTTAAAACAATATTTTCAAAAAATAACAAGAAGCCGTAAAGCTTGGTTTGAAACAGCCATCTGAACTAAGCAAATTTCTAAACATAAGATGCACTAAACTAAGAAAATTTACAAAATGCATTGAACTAAAATAATAAAATACTTGTATGATTTATACTCTATATATGCTATGATTTTGTATATCTTACCATATCTTGATACCATGTTCCATCATATTCATCACCATTTTCATATGTCATCTTTCCTTTACCATTCTTCATATCATGCATCCACTGACCAACATATGAAACTCCCCCAGGTATTATATAGGAACCTTCACCACATCTTTCACCACGCTCAAAATCTCCAGTGTAATAAGATCCATTTGAATAAGTTAATTTACCCTTGCCATGATATTTATCTCGATAGAAATAACCACTAAATAGTAAGAAAACTTTTTTTATTTTTTTTTAAGAAAAGTAGAAAATAAAATAATAAAAATTTGTTCATCAAATCATATAAAATATTTTGAAATTTAATTTTTAATATGTTGATTTTTTATAAATAAAATTTCAGATTCTAACTGGTAAAAATAAGTTATTGTATACAAATTACTTGATCAATTTATTTCATTTACATCCTCCTCGTGCTTCTTGCTAAAATACCCAAATTTACCTGGTCAAGGTAAAATTTGGTATTTTAGTTAAAGGTAGTTTTGAATAAATTTATAATTTCAACAAAAAATTTAAAAATCTTTATACTTTTAATAATATTACAAAATAATTATATTCAAATAAAAAGGTCCTTCCAAAAATGTGGAGTGTGCTCCATGGTCCCAAGGGGCTTAAAATAGTACAAATATGCATTGCATCTTTATGTCAGAAAAGATCTTAACTATCAAGGTTGTACCTAAAATCCAGCTTGCCCAAAAATACTAAAACCCGGCCGGCCCAAGTTTATAGCCAACTTTTCTTTATTTTTCTAAAAATCTTTGTTTTTGCAAAAGACATACATTTCTTTAAGATTTTATTGGTTAAAAGTTAAATATATATATATATATATATATATATATATATATATATATATATATATATATATATATATATATATATATATATATACATATAAAACTAATATAATGAAGTAATATTAAAAAATGTAGATTTTTGGTTTTAAAAAAATTTTTTTTAGAATGTCTATATTATAAAGTTGTACAGTTTTCATAGGAAGCGATAAGATAATTACTGAAACCAATAAGTAGATATGTGGATTTAATACAATATTTAAAAAATCATTTTAATTGTATTATCCAGAAAAAAATGAAACTAGTGAAGGAAGGAAATTTGCTTAGGGTACAAGAGAGACCAAATAAAACCTACCGTTCTTGCTGAGCCATTCTTCAATTTTGGAGATTGAGATGTCAATGCTGCTCCTGATGCCATGAGTGACAACAAAGCAAAAAAAGTGGTTGTCTCAATAAACCATGAAGAATATAACGCAATTCCTTCAATAACCCTTTTTGTGATTCTTTGTAATAACCCTTAACCCTAACGCAATTCCTCCAATAGCCCTTCACGTTAAAAACAACCACTGGATACTCTTAATTACCAACACTCTTGATAAAACAGTAGGGTTTTTTATGATATGTTTCTGAGATATACTATATTACGGTCATCTGTTACTAATAAACTTGAAGTTTGGGATAAAGTTACTTTTAATGCACCTTGATAACTCAATGGATATAGTTGCAGAGTTTTTAAATTAATATTTGCAGGAGCTGTTTCTAACAATGTGAACATATTGTATATCCCAAAGCTGTGGCATTATACCGATAAATTCATGCTAGACTTGCACCATGAATGTGCGCTAATATTGATAACGAAAATATCTGACATTCTGTTTTGTGTTAAACCCCTTGGTGCTTGTTTAAAATGGTCACAATGCAATCAGTGCAATCTTTGGTGCCATAATGCCTGCATGCCGTGTCAGTCTTCTCACACAACATTTTCATGAAGCCAATGCATTTGAACAAATAAATAATATGTTTTCGGTTTATGTTGTTTAAAACTTTGTTTATTTTTATAAAAAAAAAATTCAAACAAATATTTTTATCACTTGTGAATTTGGTATAATAATTATATAAGTTCGTTTATTTATATATTAAAAAAAAACTTTTTTTATCCTGGCCTGGTTTTAGGTGTTTAGGCTGGGCCAGGTTCGGCCAGGCCGGCTTTTAGGTACAACCAACTATCAATGTTGTGCATATGTGTAACTAATGTGCACCTGACTAATATGTCCTTGTTTTCATCTGTGTAAAGTATTTTTGCTCAGAGCCACCTAATCAATCTTTTTTACACTTATCTAAACTGTTATTATTACCAAATGTGCAAGCTATCTATTTTTGTGCAAACAATTCTTATACATACATGTGCAAAACTATTTACACTTTTGTCTACTATATAAGTTATTTTCCTTGAATTTGTGAAAGAAAAGATTCAGCGTTTATTTTACACTAACATAAGCTATTTTTATTTAAACAACAAAAGATTTTTATTTTCAAAATATAAAATACCAAAATTGAATAAAAAATATAACAATATTTTTTAGATATTCATCATGTAAACTACCTGTATTCTGAGCCATCAGGTAATTTTAAATTTCCTTTTCCATGCTTCTAAATAACAAATATCTATTTTTATAAAAGTCATTAAATATATAATAAAAAAGAGTTTAATTCATCATCATCATCATCATCATCATCATCATCATCATCATCATCATCATCATCATCATCATCATCATCATCATCATCATCATCATCATCATCATCATCATCATCATCATCATCATCATCATCATCATCATCATTATCATCATCATCATCATCATCACCACCACCACCACCACCACCATAATAATAAAAAATCATTTAAACTTTAAAAACTTACAAGATTCCTTCTCCACTTTCCTTTATAACATAAACCATTTATACACTTCAATTCACCAATCCCTTCTATATTATCATTCACAAAAAATCCATTAAACATATCACCATTTTTGTAATTAATAATTGCTTCTCCGTGTCGCTGACCATTTTTCCATTTGCAACTAACACTGTCTCCATTTGCATCAATAAAAGTCCCAAACCCATCTAAAAACAATGTTTAACAGATATATATTGTCAAAAGATATAAGCGTGGTAAAATTAACATGAAACAAAACAAAGTTTGACTATTGTTACAAAATATAGTTACAATTTGACCTTGTTTGTCATTTTTCCATTGACCTTCATACAATTCACCAGAAATATATCCTAAAGTTCCATAACCATTTCGTTCATCATCTTCCCATTCTCCCTGAAATAATTTAAGTTATACTTATGCATACAAAGTTACCTTATGTAATGTTGTCATATTGTTTATAGGTGGCTCATAACTATTAAGTTTTAGTATTAAAAATGATTTGTCTTGAAAGTAAGTGGAGTTTTCAAGCTTTGAGTTTTCAACAGTGTTGTAAAAAATACTTTCGAAAAAGAATAAAAATACAAGAACAAATACTTGGTCAAAAAAAAAAATTTAAAATACAATTACAAAATACTTTCAAAAAAAAAAAGGTGTTTAAAACACAAAACACAAAATACAAAATACAAAACACTCAATATCAAAGTATTTAAAATGCATAATACTTTATCAATTCTTGAAAGTTTAAAATAAATCTTAAAGTTTGTTCAGACCATCAACAATAGGTTTCATAAATTGTTTGTATTCTTCTAACACCTTTAACTTCACTGATTTGAAATAGTGCAATTTAAATTTTTGCATGATTTGGGGGAGTTTTTCTTCCAAAAACTGACATTTGAAATATGTAGAATTCTGTTGAGTCTCACCAGGGGTCAACAAGACCTTAGTAATATTCTCCACAGCATTGGATGCTTGTATACTTCAACTGACATGTGACCAAAGTATTGAGCAATTGTTCATTGCACCTCTGTATTGTTATTTGTAGTTGATAATTCAATCATTTACTTCTACTTGCGGAAGGACTTTTTCTATCTTATGCAAACCAACATCACTCAGATCTCTTTTTATAATATTTCTGGACATTTCTTTCTTGAAATTTTTTTCTTACTAATTTTTTTTTTTTAATAAAAAAAAAATTGAAAAGTAGTTTGCATTTTTGTATTTAGTAACTTCCAACACTAATAGTGGTTGCTTGCAGCCTTGTTGGAAGTAAAGATGTTTAAAAAAAATATTTTGAAAGACATTGAAAATACAAAATACATCAAAAACTATATTTTGAATATAAATACTAACTACTTTACTGAAAAAGTATTTAAAATACAAAATACACACTTTAAAAATATTTTAAATACATATTTAAAATACTTTACAACTATTTACAAAATATATTTATCTATTTTAAGATTAAAAAACTTGAAAGAAAACAAATCAAGTGGTGTTGATAACTTACATTCAGCTATTTTAAAAAACTGTGCATCAGCATTTGCTATTCCACTTACATATATTTTTGAAGAATCTTGAAATTTTTTTGAATGAGTATAAACTCATAGTCAAGCAGCAGCACGGTTTTGTTAAAAGTAAATCATGCACAACAAATCTACTTGATACACTAGATTTTATTTCCACCAGTTTAGAAAATGGTAAACCTATTGATGTTATTTTTTAGATTTTGCTAGGGCATTTGACACAGTGCTCCATAAAAGGCTGTTACTAAAACTAGCAGCTTATGGATATCTGGTCTAACAATTAAATGGATTGAAGCTTTTCTGAAAAATAGAAAACAAAGAGTTGTGCTAGGCGAAAACGTATCTTCTTGGGCAGAAATTATCAGCGGTGTGCCACAGGGGTCCGTAATTGGACCACTTTTGTTCGTGCTATTTATTAACAATTTTCCTGAAACCTTAAAAAACATATCTATGCTGTACGCTGATGACGCTAAAATAATGAATGAAATGATTTCCTACGAATCAACAGTGTCTTTGCAAGCAGATCTTGATAGAGCTTTTAAGTGGACTCAAGAGTGGCTTGTAAAGTTCAATATTTCTAAATGTATGGTCATGCACTATGGGATTAATAACAGAAAAACACCACTTAATATCAATAAACAAAAATTAAACGTAACAGAATCTGAAAGAGATTCTTTGAGAGGAGTAATTTTCTCAAACAACCTAAAATGGAAAAATCAAGTGATATCATGCATAGGCAAAGCTAATCAAATGTTGGGTATGATTAGAAAATGGTTTGTTCGTTTAGATATTAGACTACTGAGATCACTTTATGTATCTTTTATCAGGCCACTATTAGAATTTGCAGTACCCGTTTGGTCACCAAATCAAAAGGGTGAAATTGACTTACTGGAAAGAGTTCAACATCGTGCAACTCGACTAATACCATCACTCAAGAAAATCAACTATGAGAATCGTCTAAAAGCTCTTGACTTAACTACGTTAACAAATAGAAGAAAGAGAGAAGACATGATTCAACTTTTTAAGATCTTTAACAGTTTCAACAAATTAGAAACAAAAAGAAAGTTTAATTTTCAACTAATTCAAACAAGAGGTCACCGGTTTAAATATGTAAAAGAAATCACTAAGCAAGCTCATCGAGAAAACTTTTTCTTTAATAGATCAGCTAATTTATGGAATAGCTTGCTGAACGATTTGGTTAATTCAGAAACCGTTAACAGTTTTAAAGCTGGTCTTGATTGCTGGATGAGCAGCAGTCAGGCAAATCAGCTGTCATAGTGTGCTAGTAACACACTCACTGGTTCATACCAGTTACAGCATTTAATAATAATAATAATAATAAAATAATAATATTTACATAAATAAATTTTACAAAATATTTTTTTTAACAGCAATCAAGTAGGCTGAATTATAAACATTAAAAAATTTAATCAACTTTTTGGGTTATATGTCTCATCCTTGTGAGAAAAGTGAAAGTGGTAATAAAAAATATTAATTATCAAAATAAAAATATTAATTAAACTTTTTAGTTTTCTCTATTAGATATTAAAAAGGTAAGAAAATTATACCTTATTATCACATATCCTGACCTAAGGTAGAAATTTCTACCTCTTTTTTTTTATTGTGTATATTATATTATTTTCTATTAATTTTCTAAAATATCTATTTCAATAAAATAAGGAACTTTAGTATGAAGTTTTGCCAAACTTAAATTTATTTAATTTAAAACATGAATTCAAATGATCAAAATTTAATTTGAGTAGAAATTTATAAACATTTAACAGGTATAAAATTTTCTAATCAAGAAAAAGTATACAAATTTTTTTCAATGTATGTTTACGTATAAACAGCTATTTTAAGCAAAAATAATGTAATTGATTGTATTCACATTGTGAATATAATGAATCTTTGTATTAACAATATACAATTGTATACTTCCTGTATATGCACCATTACAAATACCCTTATTTACGCTGTTCTGTTTTAAAATAAACAAAATCTCCCAAAGAAGATTTTGTCTTTTTATTTGACTGCTTCATTGTAAAGATAACATTCATTCAACAACATCAAGTTTATTTATTACCATAACAACTTAAAACTTCTAAAAGTGGAATTGTTTTAATATACTTAAAACCTGTAAACAGTGTACAGTGTACCTCTGTTTAGAGGTTACTACTATTGCTAGTGTCTTTTAACTTGTTTAATTAATATGCATGTTATGATAAAACAAAATAACAAAAAAAGCTTTTGGGTTTTCTCCAAAGTTTTGTGTTCCGTATTATTCAAAAAATAATATAAAGTCATAAGATAATTATTTGAACTCCTAGAACTTTTAAATTTCTCTGGTCCATTTCTAAATTAATTTGATAACTTAATAAATTAAGTTTATAATTTGACAAACCTTATATGTCATTTGATTTGGCCACATCATTGTACCTTCTTTGTGACGCTGTAAAAACATAAATAATTAATATATTTTTAAAAGTAAACTTATTAATATTTTCAGACTCCAATTCATTAAATATAAAAACTCCAATTCATTAAATATAAAAACTCCAATTCATTAAATATAAAATAATACCTTGGATCCCAAAAAGAAACCACTATATAAACTGCCATCATCATATTCAAAAGAAGTTTCTCTTAGGTCTAATTAAAGGAAAATTCAATATTTATTCAAAAAAACAACTGAAATTTTTCAATAAATAAGTTGTTTTTCTTACCAATATCATTACTTTCATTTAATTCAAAACCATACAAGTGTTGTAAAATTGCTTTTTTTAATTTCTCTAACCAAATTTTTTTTTCAGAATTTGAGCCAACATACATTATATAAGATCTGCCAGGAGTGTGAATTCCAATAGAATCCTTTTTAGCTAAAACAATACAAATAAATGAAAACCAGACAAACAACAAAAAACAAAACAAATAGATTATATAAAATAAAAGTATAGAAAAATCAGAAAAAAAACTTTGTATGTACATAAAAAAAAAAATACTGCAGTTCTACATTATAATTTAAAACTGATTTTGGAATCGATTGTTTAAAAAAAAAAAAGAATAATATCAAATCTTAATGTCAAGCCTCATATAAAATTGACTCCAGAATTTAATCTACTTTATATGATATTTCAAACTTCTTGTATGTTTTATATTGTAATGCATCGTATTTATTTGCAATGTGGTTTGCTTCAATTTTGAGATGATTTGTTTAAGCTACATATTTCTTCATTTCTTAAAAATTTCAGACCAAAAAAAATATTAAATTTTTTTAAGAGAAATTTACTTCCAAAAAGGCTGCAAGCAACTAATATTTAAGAATAATTAAGAGAGTTACTAGAAACTAAAGAAGACAGTTAAATTGCAAGAAAGTGGTTGACAAAAGACAGTATAAATTGTATGAGTCAGGAAAACATGAAGAAAAGGAAAAATTTTAAATTCTAATTAAATAAAAGTTCTATATTGAAAGGAAAAGTAACAATAAAAAGGGCATTAAAAGAACCAGCCTTAATATGATAGCAGTAATCCATACAATAACAAATAGGAAATCTATAGAGTTAGAAAATGGAATTAGAAAAAAAAATGTTTAGAGCAAAGAGAGGCAAACTTTAGCAGATACTGACTTGCAATGGACTGAACATTTTTTAAACCTTATAGTCGCATTTTGAATCACGTGAATATGGCAGTTGAATCATCAATAACACTGAATCTTTTATTTATAAATTTTTTATTTTAACTTTGTCAAACAAAATTAACAAAATAAAAAACATAAAGATGCATGTGAAAAATCATTATTAGAATTAATTATGTTTTGCAATTAATGATACATTCTTTTTTTTTTTGATAAATTTTTTTTTTCTAAAAAAAAGAAGCATAATAAAAAATGTTTAAAACAGTAAAAATGTAATATATTAAACATTTAACTAAATTAAATTTGAGTAAAGATGAATGAAAGAGAATAGATTTTTTTTCGGTTTCGATTTATAAAACATTTCTTGCGGTTTTATAACATTTCACTATTTTTTATTAATTAATTTACTTATAATTAAAGTCTTTTATAAGACATATTTTAGTAGTCGCAATTAAATTTTTTTTCTTTAATAATTTAACCCGAGAAAAAATACCCCCAAAAAAATGCATATTATACCAGACTACTGATTATCATAGTGGATAACTCAAATGAAAAATAAAAACTATTTCAGTCAAAAACCGGAGGGTACACCCGTAAGACAGGGTTTTATAGTTATATTATCAGCAAACAGATTACTTCAGAGATTTTCAAGATTAATATGAGCAGCAACAGAACCAATGATGGAACCTTGTAGTATTCTATACTGCAATGATGGGACCTTGTAGTATTCTATACTACAATGATGGAACCTTGTAGTATTCTATACTACAATGATGGAACCTTGTAGTATTCTATACTACAATGATGGAACCTTGTAGTATTCTATACTACAATAATGGAACCTTGTAGTATTCTATACTACAATGATGGAACCTTGTAGTATTCTAGAGGTTATTTGAAATGATAGAACGTTGTCTGTCAAAGATAATTTTATTACCGTAGTTAGAAAACAATGATTCAATAATTTAAAAAATTATATGTCAACAGATTGTTCTCCATGCATCAGCCTTATTTTTTAAGGTTCAAATAGTCAGTAAGTTCAGGTTTTTATAAATAATTTAAATTAAATAACTTTGTAACAATATTTTATGCTTTAAAAAAACAAATAATACATATTTTCAATTCCTTTATTTTATAAATATAAATGATGAGTATTTTATAAAATGACTATAACCTTGTTCTCCAAGCAGCAGCCTTTTTTGGCTCAAAATTTTAAGTTTAAAAAATAAAATAAAGCAGAAAGGAAAAGAAAGAAAGCAAAAAAAAAATTTGATTCTTTAGGATGTCAGAAGGGTGTCGTCATTAGATTCAAGAGATTAAATAAAGAAAAGGTTAATTGCAAATAGGTCTGCTTTAACCTTGGGAGAGGTAATAAGATTATACCCATGTAAAAAAAATACAGCATACCTAGATTTATAACTAATTTATATTTCTCAATTAAAACTTAAAAGTGATAATCATACATGTATTTGCTCTAGATAGAATTAAATAAAAATGTCAAAATTTATGCCAAAAATGTAAAAAAAGAAGAAAAAAAAATGCAAGAATTTTCAGTTCTAAATTCATATCAACAAAAATTTTCAGTTCAAAATTCAGTTCAATGAAAATTGCTGGAAAAAAAAACAGTTATTAAACAGTAACAATATTTCTACAAAAAATCTTCTATTTTAGTAAGCCCTAGACATTATTAAACAGTGACAATAGTTCTACAAAAAATCTCCTATTTTAGTGAATCCTAGACATTATTAAACAGTGACAATGGTTCTACAAAAAATCTTCTATTTTAGTGAGCCCTAGACATTATCAAAGATAATCTCCTTTTAGTGAGCCCTTGACATTATCAAAGATAACCTCCTTTTAGTGAGCCCTTGACATTATCAAAGAGTGGCTTCTAAAAGAATGGTTCTACAAATAATTCTAAAGAATGGTTCTACAAAACTAATACAATTGCTTTAACTTCTAATTATATAATCTGTTCTATTTTTGGAAACCTTTAAAAAACCGGCAAACATCCACAGTGGTGGATCCACGGTGGTGAGAATTTGATGATCATAAATTTCAACAAAAGTGTTTTATTGGATTTTTATACACATTTTCTTCTTGCATTTTTATACACATTTTCTTCTTGCATTGCTATTAAGTTTTCTTACATTTTGTAATGTTTGTGCACATTTCAATTCCATTAAGCTTTGTGAAAAATTAAATATATTTTTAGATCTGCAATTATTACCCTATAGGTTCTTTTCTATTATCTCTTTCATTATAAAATTTGCAAAAAATTTAATAAAAAATTTTTTTTGTTACATTTTTTATACTTAATAAAATTTTAGAAATTGAATATATATACCAAATATGCTTTCAGTAGGCTTGCATTTTGAATACACTTTTTTATATCTCCTTGCATAAACTAATAAAAAGTTTAAAGATAAAATCTTTGTAATTAAAAATAAATATTTCTCACTAGTTTGTGGATCCAACCCTTCCAAATCTTCAATCCATACTGTTTTTAAACCTAATGCTAATTCAACAATGCTCTGCCTATTAGCAACTTTAACAGCAAAGACAAGCAGATCATTGAATAGAACACACTAAAAATTCAAATTATTTATATTTAAATAACTGAATGTCTTCAAATTAAACATGTAATACAACAAAAAATATAGAATTACTTGATATGTCTTTTTGCTTGTCTGCAAACAAACTGCACCCTCATGGACAAGATTACGATCTGGTGTATAATAAGCCTTAAGTCCTGTAATTTGTGTTTGAAGTAATTCTAAAGCTTTCTGACATTGAGATTGTTTTAGTTGTTCATTTAAAAAAGAAGCAATCTTTTCCTAACAAGTTAAAAACATTAAATTTGCTATTACAAATAATTTGATTGCTAATACTATATAGAATGAGAATCGATACAATATCTTTTATATACTGTGTATTTAGATACATACTGTACAACAAATTTCGGCACTTTTTAGAAATGTATGCATTTTTTATGATAAAGTATATCTTATAAGTAGATGCATTTCAAACATGGATACTATCTACCCAAACTCTTAGTTGTTAACTCTTAATTGTTATATTTATTAAAACTCCCACCTATTCCTATTTCAGTATGATGTCTTGATGTTTAGTGATAGATAATTACGTGTATACCACCTGTATCACCACTGATATTTCAAGTCTGCAAGCAATATCAGTGGTGACATTATATATGTCATACATCTGCAGTAACTAACATACCAGAAAAATTCCTTTTTTTTAAAAAAAAAAAAAGCGTTTGGATTAAAGTGTATTTTTTAAAAATTAAAGTACACAGAATATTTTAGTGTTGTGTAAACTTAAATATGCAGCAGTAGATTTTTTCAATACTTTACTCACAGATTATTAACTATTCTGTAAATATTAGATCACAGATATTCTGTGAATAAAAAAGTTAACAAAAATAAATCGTGCAAGGCTATCATATTTTTGTTTTACTGTTTTTGCCTGTTTCAAGGCAAAAACATTAGCATTACTATATTTAAATCTGAATATTTTGTAAATTTAATATTTATTCAAGATTAGTTTATATATATATGTAAACATATAACTCATCTAAAATGACTAGATGTGAAAAACTGTATAAATAGTGTATTGAAAAAAGAGGAAAGACTTCCCATTAAATAACACTAGATAACAAAAATTTGTTTTAATATATGTTTTTGCATAATGCAGATATGATAATTCAAATGGTGACATTAATTTTCATGTTGCTTTTGGTTTGTTCAAGTAAATAGATTTTTTTTAAATTGTATTTATAATGATTTCATTTACTACTTATCTTTTTAACAAAATGAAAACATTGAGTTACTTTGCAAAATGGTTCCTAGACAATGTAAATTATCAGCAAATTGTTTTTGTTATGTTCGTGGGTGTTTTATTAAATTATAATTATAAAAAGGTTAAGGATTAAAAAAATCATAACTTACTATTATTTATTGCACTGGTAACACATAACGAACACATGCTTATTCTAGTTCCATAAACAACAAGTCAATTCAACATAGAAATATCGGATAAAGATGATAATTATAGAGAAAAGCAAGACAATAAAACTTGGCGCAATTTGTGAACCTCACTTTCCAAACCAACAAGAACTTGATGATCTAGACTTGAATCTTCCAAAAGCTGGTGCAGAACTGCTTGCATCCATATTAAAAGAATGGAAACTTTTGCAACATGTAGATCATCATTTAAAACATAAATCATATGCTCAGTACTTTAAAGCCAATAAACTTCTCTGTTTTTTGATTTGATCTCAGACCAACCTTTTCAATGATGACAATTTATTGTCAGAAATAGAAAGAATTTGAAGGCTAAAACGAAAATCAATATTGTTCCATACCAGTTGCACAGTGTGCACAGGTCAACTATGGTTAATACCATGAGCATGATGTGTGTGGTGATTTCAAAAAGATTAATTTTCTTTTAGTAATGCAAGGAAGATTTACTTGTTTCTTGTGTTTGTGGAACAGTAGAGATACTGCAAATCATTATATTCAAAGAAAACAAATTTTAAAAAAAAAAGTTTGCAACCAGGGATCTACAGATGAATGTTGCTCAAGTATCTGTAGAAAAAAGCTAAAGAAGAAGCTAAAGTTGGTTGTAATAGCTGGTGTATTTACAGGACCACAAGCAAAACAAATGTTTGCATCAAAAGATTTTTAAAACAAAATGACAAAAAAAGAAAGAAGAGCTTGGCTTGCATTTAAGCATGTAGTTTAAAATTTTTTGGCAAACAACAGGATTGAAAACTAGAAGGAACTAATTTTTATCTACTTGACAGTTTTCCTGAGTTGGGCTACAGAATGTCACTCAAACTGCACTATTTACATTCTCATTTTGAATGTTTCTGTCCAAACCTAGGAGCCATTAGTGAAGAATATAGAGTTTCATCAGGACATCCAGATGATAGAAAAAAGGTTCCAAGGAAAACCGAATAAAGCCATGATGGGGCACTAAAACTGGAGCTTGCTCCACACAAACACAAAAAAAGACTATCAACCTAAGGTACATTTGGGAACTTTTGAATGTAAATTGTTGTTATATAACATGTCATAAGCATATAAATTTAACTTCAAATTCAAAACAAATAAATGTAAACTGTAGTTTCTACATGTTAATAATTACTAATTTTTTCTACCTATAATATTAATATTATTAATAATAATAATAATAATAATAATAATAATAATGATAACAAAACTGTTAAAAATATATAGAAACATCAAAATCTAAAATGAAACCGAACTTTCATAAAAATTTGTAATAGATGTGTATTACTATATTTCTGTTTAATCAGTTTTGGTATTCAGTAAAAATCAATTTTGTTAAATCAGCTTTATCAACCAATAATTTTTGGTAAATATTTTTTAATTGAAATGTGAGGATCAGTCCTATTTTTGTTGAATACATGGTACTAAAACACCTCAGCTTAGTAAACTGGATAAATTTAAATATAAATTGCTTAAATGATTTTTAATAACAATAACCTTTGCTGGATAGCATTAATCAGACTTGATTTTTTTTTGTCTAAAAAGTAAAATTCTGAAAACTTTTTTATTCATATTTTAAATCATGTTTTACTGAACTTTTTTGACATATCAAACTTTTAAAGCAGAACTTTTTTGAAATGTCAAACTTTTAAAGCAGAACTTTTTTTCCCAAGCTCAAAAATTTTCTTTATTAGACCTATTGCAAACAAATGCGTTTATGACAATATTATGTTTTTCTAGAACAACTGAAACTAAATTTTCTAGTATGTCTTTAAAATTGGTATATATACAGGCAAAATTTCCATAGTTCCATTAGTTTGTTTTGAACACTTAATAAAAGTTGAAGTTTGAGTAAGATTTTTTAATTTGTTTTTTTTATATGAAAGTTTTATATGAAAGTTTTGTGTATTTTTAATTAAGATTTGTTATTTAATTATTACAATGCCACGCGGAAAGGTGTTAAATGAGGAAGAAAAAGCAAAAATTGTTGTTTACAAAGATTTGGGTTTGTCCAATCAAAATATTGCAAAGAAAATCAAAAGGTCTTGTCATACAGTAAACAATTTTATAAATTTAGGTAAAAATTACAACAAAAATCACTTAAAGGGCGGAAATAAAAAAACAACCAAAAGGCAACATTCTTCCATTTTGCGTTTGGTGTCAGGAATACGAACAGCAAGATAAATAAGGACTGAACTTGAATTACCTGTGACTACAAAACGTGTCCAACAAATTTTGTCAAAATAAAATGATTCCAATGGAAAAGAATGATCACAAAACCACCATTGACAAAAAAACATGAAAGTGCAAGATTTAAGTTTGCAAATGACCACATGACATGGGATGCAGAATGGGAAAATGGGAAAATGTTATTTTTTCCGACAAAAAAAAGTTTAACTTAGATGGGCCTGATGTTTTTGAGTATTATTGACATAGTTTAAAAAAAAAAGATAGCACAGTATGAGTCGTAACATCGGAGGAAGGACAATAATGGTGTGGGCTGTATATTGTTTCCACCCCAAAATTCCAATATATTTTATTACAACAAAAATTAATGAAAGAAATTACGTAGATCTTTTAGAAGATGTTTTAATAGAGTTTAGTGAAGGTTTACCTACTGAGAACTGGATTTTCCAACAAGATAATGCGGCAATTCACACAGCACGAAGTGTAAAAAGCAGTTCCAAGAAAATATAAATGTTTTGGATTGGCCATTATGCTCACTTGACCTGAATCCTATTGAAAATTTATGGGGAATATTGGCGCAAACTATATATGGAAATTCTTGACAGAATAATACATTACAAGAACTTAAAACATCTATCCAACAAGCATGGAACGGTATTTCAATTGTTTGGAAAATCTTATAAAAAGTATGAAAAACCGAATCTTCGAATTAATTAGTGTGAAAGGTGGTAGCACACATTATTAAAAACTAAACTAATTTAAAAAATATTATCTAGAACGAAAATTATAAAGAATTACCTTTGATGGAACTATAGAAATTTTGCCTATTTTTTAAAATATATTTTTAAATTTTTTGAAATAAATTAATAATTATTTTCTATTCAAATATTATTTGCTTATTTATTTATTCCTAATACTTCCTGTAATTAACAAAAAAAAAAAAAAATGCAAATGCTTCATGAATTTATTTATATGTAAAAATTGTTAGTGGAACTATGGAAATTTCGCTGAGTGTATATCAACAAATATTTTAAACCTAAATAAAAAAAAACCTCTAAGTAAATAATAAAAGCTAACATTGACTCAATCATAATTTTATGTATGGTCAAATATTTTACCATAAGTGTTAGTGCATCTTTTAAGTGTTGAAAATCATTGTGATCGCTACTAGTTCTCTTAGCAATATCCTTGAGCAGTAAAACATATCGTGGAATTCGTTGGATAACAGTAATTAAATATGATGGCATTGTCAAGCCAGGTAAACATACTGGATTAGTGTAACACATCTAAGAAAAATTTATATAAAATAATAATATTAAAAATTTGTATTTTATAAATTAAAATATTAAACATTAAAATTAAAAAATAATTCTTCTTATAAATAAAATAATGATAATAAATAATTCAAAAAATGTATAAATAGTAAATAGAAAGAAAAAATTGACTAAAAAGATAATTCAAAACAATTTTTAGTTGAAATTCTTCTGTTATACATCATTAAAATTAATTATTTTAATTTTCAATATGAAGGCATTATTAATGCTTTATGCAAAATGTTTTCAAACATTTTTTGCAAATAAATATATATAATAAACAGCTAAATATAGTCAGCTACAAAAATATAGGCCTTTAATACATACATCAAAAGAGTTTGGTTTGGAAAAGGCAGTACTTTTTATATATTTAACTTTTATTTTCTAGTAATTTTCAGTAACTTTTTAAAACGAAGAAAAAATGTATGAAATAAAAAAAAAAGTTTGTTTTTTTTAGTATTCCTTTTTTAAAAATCTAATGTACAATACTAGAAACTTTAAAAGTACTAAAGAACCTTGAATTGCTTTCTCTTAAATCTCTTTAAATAAAAAAATTACATTTAAGAAAGTTTCAAAATCCTTCTTCTTCTTCAGTCTTTGTTTTAAGAAAGCATCACTTGCATCATAATTTGTACAATAATCAGAATAAATTTTCCACTTGTTTTCCTACAAAAAAAAATTACAATCATCATGATAATGATCATTATCATCATCAGCATTCTCATCATCATTATTACTATCATCATCATCATGTTTATGATGATAATGATTATGATCATTATAACCATTATCATCATCATCATCATCATCATCATCATCATCATCATAATCATCATCATCATCATAATCATCATCATCAGAATCATCATCATGATGATGTTTATGATGATGATGATGATGATGATGATCATTATAAACATCATCATCATCATCATCATCATCATCATCATCATCATCATCATAATCATCATCATGATAATGTTTATGATGATAATGATTATGATCATTATAACCATTATCATCATCATCATCATAATCATCATCATCATCATAATCATCATAATGATGATGTTTATGATGATGATTATGATCATTATAACCATTATCATCATCATCAACATCATCATCATCATCATAATCATCATCATGATGATGTTTATGATGATGATGATAATGATCATTATAACCATCATCATCATCATCATCATCATCATCATCATCATCATCATCATCATCATCATCATCATCATCATCAACATCATCATAATCATCATCATCATCACTGTAATCATCACTATCATCATAACCATTATCATCATCAAAAAAATTCTTAGGAAATTTTTAGTAAAAAACAACTTACTTGCATTAAAAAAATATCACCAATAGATTGACTATCTGACCAGTTTGAAATCCTTTCAAGTAGTTCATCCAACATTTCTTTGTGCAAGGCTAAGATGCTAAATATCAAAATACTTTACAATTAAATATGAGTTTTATATATATAAACTCATTTAACATATAAATACTGACTTTTATAAACTCATAATAAGATTTTAACTCTTTTGCATCAAAACACGTTGCTAATGACACTCAAGTAATAATAAATTACTTGTATTTATTATTTAAAACATAACTTCAAGTTTGACTTCTAAATCAGCAAAGATAAACAAATTTTTGTTTCAGGGATTGTCAATAAAATTTGGGAATATAAAAGTACATACACGCAATTTGAAGAAAATATTTTTACTTTATGTTTGTATTTCAAAATTATAACTTTTTTACTTTTTGAAAGGATACAAAAAAGTATATCAATAGAAAAATAAAATGGGATAAAATTGTTTAAAACTTCCGAAATATTAAGGATTTTTAGATGCACTCTATTTGCATCTATTTTTGTTGCAAAACACTTTTAATAGTTTTGATAGTTTTATGTTTTGATTAGCATAATATTGAATTTAGGTGCAAAAGAGTTAATATAAAGAAATATTCATCTAGTTTTTCTTAACAAAACTAACCTTTCAATATTACCAAAAACAATTTTAAGGTCTGAATCATCCATGAATCCATTTAAACTGATCTGTTTCATAAAATGCTAGAATTGATAGAATCAAATTTATATTAATAAAAAAGAAAATTAACAATCGTCATTTTTTTAACACATTTTAAAATCTAATCTTGGACTCCTTTTAAGGTCCTTGATTGTAATCATTTAAACATTGAAAAAATCTCTAAGAACATCACTAGTAACGTCAATATATTAAAAACTCTGCATTTTTTGTAATAAAACTTAATAAGGAAAAAAACAAAACTATTGCAAAATTATGTATTCAAATTAAAATCTACTGTTTTTCAAATTAAAAAATTATTAGATTACCAAAACAACAATCTCCAACCCTCTTACATAACTTCTTTCTGTTGTATAAACCTCTAATGCAATTAATGAACGACGATCAGAAGGAAAAGCAGGCAATGATGCTGGAAAGCCATCAGTAAACAATCGTAATGGCTCGTTCTATTAATAAGTTATTTTAATATACTATTAATATTATTTAATAAGTTAAATATTATTTCTGAGATTTAAATATACTATTTAGAAAATATCATTAAATCATTTTTCAAACACACACACACACACACACACACACACATATATATATATATATATATACATACATGATATATGTTTTCAAATAAAAACGATAGCTAAGAAAGAATATGCCTACTTTTGCTGTTTTATTGTGTTAAATATTGTTGAAAATTGCAAAAAAATGAATTATTTTGCCGCATTTATAAGTATAATTAAATAATACAGTTAAATTTTTTTATAAATGAAGATTTATCATTAATTGATAATTATTTATTTAAAATAATATAAAAGTTTGTTAAAATAAATTTGTTTGATTGTCACCATTTTCAAATCATTTTTTCCTTTGTAGAAAGTGAGTCAATTAACCTTTTCTTAGACAAGTTTGGTGACTTTTTTGCTAGCCTTTTTGTAGCAAATCTAGCTTTATCAACAGTAAGCAGTCTGTTCTGAATTTCTTATTCTTTATTATATCCGTGAACATACTGTTGCATCATTCCTACTGCTCTTTCAGCAGGATCATTTACAACAACGAGAGATTTAGCAAAATCTTTGAAGATTCTAAAACTTTTTGGTGGGAGGGTAAACCAGTCTCTAATCCTTAGTTTATCTAACCCAATTCTATCAAAAAGGAGAATTGATCAACTAGTAATGATAAACTTGGGGGATCATTGTAAATTCTCTTTTTAATCCTAAGTTTGTTTTCCACTTTAATGAGTGATCAGTTGGCAATTTTAAAATAATCAGAGTTTGGCATGTCATTTCGAAGCATAACAGAGACAATCTTACTTTTTTCTTTGTTAGAAACATCTTTATCCAACAAAGAAGTACAATTGTAGAATCTAGATACCAGGAATGTTTATAATATGATTTCAATACTGCTTCAACTGTGTCTGGTTTGGTACAAACCTCTTTATATAGATCCATTTTATGTATTAATAAAATATCTAGGTATGGTGCTTTGATAGCCTTATCAGATTGCAAATATTATTTTGCAAAAAAACATACTATGAATTCCGCCACGATATTACTTCTAAAAGCAGTTTATCTTCCTGAATAAACTTAATTTGATTAAAAAGAAGTTGCAATTTTAGATGATATATGGCTTTTCTGAGGAACCTTGCATGGTAGGCAGCTCCTGGTTTCCTAATTTTTACACCAGAAGACAATTTTTTATTTTATTTTTATTTTTTTTTAATTCACCTCCCCAGGGCCGAGAAGGCCACTATAGATGAGGAGGCTACTTGTGATTATAAACCTCTCTCAACTCTGTAACTCTGAAATACGAACCTTGATGAACAAGGCTGCTACGCAGAGAAACAAGTTGAGCACGGTATTACCAGGGACGTGGTGGGAATCGAAACTCTTATGAAGTGAGTGCTCTACCATTACACTACTACGACATTTTACCCCATAAATAACAACAACTAATTCAGCTAGTTCTTTTTTATTGTCTCTTAAAACTTTTTCATTTTTAATATATTCTTTTCAAAAATTTAGAGACTCAACTGCAGCACATTTAATAACTTTTGTCTTCTCCTAAAGAAATTTTGTAACATTAGTATCATAATGAAAACCAAGAGTTTCAAATATGTCTTTGAGTATTTTAACTAAAGGATTCTCTATTCCAGATGTCTTTCTTTGAGTCACAACATCACAAAAGTGAACAATCTTTAGCTCTGATATGTGGTGTCTACAAACAAAAAACAATAGATAGATATCTAGATTGTTTGCTAATCTAAAAAGGGAACTCTTTTTAGTTCAAGTATTACTGGAAGTTGTATCAAAGCATAGCTCTCCAATCTTTCTTTTGGTTTCATATTCCTTAAGGATATTCATCACAACTTTAAACTGATCTTCACCTGAGGAAGATGCTAGAGAAGGTACTCTGAGAAGATAAACCTCTCCATCAATATTTAAAAGAACTGCTTATCTGTAATTTTTGAATCGCTTGCCTTTTTTTAATTTTAATAAGATTTTACCATTGAAAGGAATGATAGGTGGATATTTTGAGGCTTTTAAAGCAGCTTTACTGTTATTTCTGTTATTTACTTATTATTAAGTTTACTATTTTCATATGTGACAAGGCTGCTGAAATGCTGCAATGTAATTTACTTATATCCACACCAGCTTTATGAAAAACAGAAGTGAAAACTTTCTGGAGAACTGCAGGAGATATATTATTAATTGATGCTGCAAGAGCAGCACTTTTTACTATATATATCTTTAAGAATTGTGTACATAATTGGTAATTTCCAATCTATTGTGTTTTCTTTTATTCTTTTTTTTTTTTTGAATACTCTCTCTAGACATTTTACTATATTTTTTATTGATTCCTTTTTTGCATTTGTTTCCAGTGTAGATTTTATGTAGTAAAAGTTTTTTTAGTATTTCCATTCCAGTTGAATACCTTAATAATATAAAAAATTATTTATTGATGTGTATAATATTAATACTTCAATACTTGCTTACTTATTATAAAATTATTTTTTTCTAGAAAAGATAATATTATAAGCAATAACATTATAATTCTTTATATAGAGTTAGATGTTTATGCATTAAATTATGCATAAAAAGTATAATTTGAGTGCAAAATAAAGAGTATTTAATCATTAATTGAAATTAATTAAACTTTGATATGGTTATCAGAATTTTATTTTATTTATTTTAATCTAAAAGAGTAAAATTGTTATGGCCATACGAATAATAAAATAACAAACAAAGTATTTCATCATTCTTATAACTCGTGACAAAATCCTTTTTTTTGCAAACTTTAACACTATTTAACACAATAAAACAGCAAAAGTAGGCCTATTCTGCCTTAACTAACCTTTTTATTTGAAAACATGCATCAATACCTGTCTTATAAAAAAAATCAGTTCAAAACTTTGATATTACCTCCCCCAAGCCTTTGATATTACCTCCCACAAATATAGTCATTTTTGGACCATTTTTTTTTATTAAAAGGGGTCTGGGGGAGGCACAGTAGTGGTACAATCAGACAAATTTTTTTCCAGTTAGTTTTAACACTTAAATGTCCCACATTTCAAGGGGTAGTTAATTGAAATTCAAAAATTTCCTCAAAAGCATATATATATATATATATATATATATATATATATATATATATATATATATATATATATATATATATATATATATATATATATATATATATATATATATATATATTTATATATATATATATATATATATATATATATATATATATATATATATATATATGTATATATATATATATATATATATATATATATATATATATATATATATATATATATATATATATATATATATATATATATATATATATATATATATATATATATATATATATATATATATAATTGATCAAAGCTTACAACTGAAGACTTCTTTCTTGATGATAAGGTAAGAGAGTACCGAAGAAAATCATTTGCTACAGACTTGATGTCAAGAGATGATGTAGATATTGTTCTTTTACTGGTATCATTTTTCACTAAAATACATTATTTTAATTATGACAACTTAAATTACATAACTCTAAATTTATTTTTGTAATATTTAAATACACTTCAACATTGAAATTGACATAAATAAGAACATTAAACTCAAAATAAACAAGACATTAATAAGTTCCTTTTAATCATTTTTATTAAGTTTAATGAAGCTTATTTATTAAACTTTTATTTTTGCTGTATGTTATTTTGCTATATCTTAATATGTTACATACAGCAAAAGAAAAAGAAAAAAAAAGACAAAATCAAAATAAGCCTCATTAACCTTAATAAAAAAAATTAATAGAAACTTATCTATACCAAGTAATAAACTACAAAATATTTTTAAAAAAATAAATAAAAAAATATTTTAGTATATATAATAATTATGAGACAGGAGAACCTAAGAAGAAGAAAAAAATTTATCATCAGTAACCTTGGGTTAAAAAAAAAAATGCATTAATAAAAAAAAAAATAAATAAATCTTGATTTACAATAAGTTTAATTATGCGGATTTGCATAACTAAACTTATTATGTGGAATTGGTTAGTGTATCTATAGTTTATTGTTGTAAAAAAAAAATTAATTGAGGGCTTTAAAACTAACAATTTTAATACAATTGATAAGTGAGAAAATAATATCTGGAAACGGATTTTTCATTGTGATAAGGTTATTTTATATAACTTATAAATTACAGCAAATTAATTCATACCATCAAAAAATTTTTTTTTTTTTTTACATTTTACTGGGTGATAGACTCTTTAGAGGTCATTTATTTAATAAATTTAGAATTACAGAATTTTAAAAATACCAAAGAAAACTATAAGTTAATTTTTATTTTTTTATTATTTTTATTTTCAACTGCCAACGTAGTTCTTCTGGCAGTGGCAACGTTACCAGCAGTAGAAAAAACCCTCTCAGAAGTTGCAGAAATTGTTAGTATACAAAGATATTTTTGTGCGTAGTTTGATAAAATTGGGTACTGCAACTTCATAACTTTCAACCACTCTGAAACATTTGTTGTTTCTTCAGCTGTTTTGGCTGCTAAGCAATGATCATTTTTAAACCCAATTTAGTCATCGAAATATCTTGTTTCAGTCTTTTTCTAAGCAGTTCGTGGTGATTTTCATTGTTTCTTTTCCTGCTACTTATTGAAGCTACTTCATGTTTTGTCTCTTTTTCCTGAGTCAATATTGCTTCTTTTATTTCATCACATATTTTAATATTCAATCAAATGCAGGTCTTTGTAACATGGGTCTAAAAAATTTGCAAAACAATTAATCAGCTACTCAGCCCCATTAAGAGGATATCTTTCCTGCAGTTCACAAATCAGCATTTTTATAAATGTTCTTGTTGGCTTGTGTTTGTGATGTAGATGGGAAAGAAGCTCTTGGTGCTAGGAATATAGTTCAGGTATCAAATCTTGGTATTCTAATGCCTTCCATTGTTCATCTGAGGGACATGACCTTTGAAACTCATCATTGGTTTTTGCAAGTGTTTTAATTGTATCTTTGACATTATGGACATGTAAATTAATGACATCAAGGACTTTATGCACGTGTAATCAGAATTCCATCATGTTGTTGGAGAAATCAATTTCCTGGGCTTAATTCCAAGTTCTTCACAAGAATTTTGAAGTTTGGCTGTAGAGAGAACACTTCTATGTGTGTGTGATGCTAAATCGGTACAGTTTTTTATTGCTTTAGAAAGTTCAGTTGAATTTTTGATTGCTCTAAGAATAACTTGCTGGATTGTGTGATCATTGCAGCGCAATTCTGAATTCATCACTTTCTTTAGCAGCTAAAACAATGTTGCTGCCATTGTCATTAACACAGCTTGATGGACTTTTTTATTTAAGTTTAAATTAGCAATAAAAGCATTTAGGTTTACTGCAATCGCAACCCTAGTGTATCTACCAGTAAATGGTGTGCAAGCAATGAGAAAACTGTAGGAATCATTATTCTGATTTGTCCAGAGATCTGTTGTAAAACTAACTCCAGTTACTTCTGGAAAATCTTTGAGAAATTTTATTTGCAACCCATCCTTTACCTTTTCATACAACTAAAATTTTAAAAGTTAGAACAAGCTTGCAAATAAACTTTGCTAAATCAAACTTTAATTGCTTTGGATTTAACCCATATTTTTGTTTTTTTATAACTTTCAACTTTCAATTATAGTTGTTTTTGTCTCTTTTTCTGTAAGTTTTTGTTTATTAAGTATCTTGGTTGTTTTCAAAAGATGTTCTTTCCAAGATACTTCGTGTTTAGTTTTGACGTGTTATTGTTGAAGTACTATCACAGTTTATTTTGTAATATTTAAAGCTTTTTTCAAATAAATTTGGCTTCAGTCAAGTCAAGTAAATCTGGCTTCAAATTTACTTCACTTTTCAATTTCCAAAAAAGAATTTCCAAAGATCACATTCTTTAGGCATCTTTAATGTAAACAAAATAAATATGATTAGTAAGACAACCAAACCATAGTAAACATAAATAAATAAACATTAATAAAAATTTAATTTTCAAAAAGTATAATATCAGATAACATAGTTCAACATAAATTAATTTAACTTTAAAATTTTTCAAAATCCTTAAAAAGTATTTTTAAGGATTTTGAAAAATTAGAATTTTATTAGCTATAATCCAAATATTAAAGTTTTTTACATCTTGTATGCTCCTAAAGGCGTTAATAATATTTAAACAACAAAGTATTTTGATTATATCAGTTTTATTATTTATCAATGAAAACAGTGTAGAAAATAAGGTTTTCAAAATAACAATATTATAAGGTAAATATTATAAACAATATTAGAAATTTAAATAAAATAAAAAATTACAAGACGCTGATATCCAAACTCTCAAAAAATCATATTCCATCATGGTCAGCAACATTTGTTCTAATTTCATGGCAAACTGTTTGCGAACTATTTTATTATGAACTATTTTATTATGTTTAGATTGCACAGTGGGCCAGATAGTGTACAAAACTGTTTTTCAAAATGTGAAAATATAAGAAACTTTTTTTTTGTATATTGTTGCAAAGTCTCTAACTAAACTAAAATTATATTACACTAATTTTTTTATTTTTTTTTACATCAGCTTAGGTTTAGAATAGCAATAATTGCATCGCTGTTGTTTTTATGTTGAAAGTTGTAATTTTTGTGTGTTTTTTAAATCTGACCCATTTTACTTTTACAACATTTAATTTAAATAATTCTTGTAAATCTTCATTAGTACATCAATAATATAAAGTTTGATGAAAACTTTATTTAAATGATATATTTATTAAAGTTGGCATAGGTTAATTTATATTGTATACTCATTTTACTCTACTATTCATGAAAAATTAATTGAAAATGTTCTAGAATTTTTAAATGACGGCGACTGACATTTAACTATGCAGCCTACATAATGTGTATATCTATGAAGAGTATATGTATATAACTTTTTTTTGCAACCAATTGCAACTGCAACTGCAATATTTATTTTAATGGTGTATACTTTGCAAAATATGTAATCATGACATGGGTTTTTATGTCAGGGGAGAGAAGAGATTTTTTTTTTCAATATTTTATATTATATTTACAAAAATTTATATTATATTTTATAATAAAGTTCAAAAATAAGAAAAAAAGTTATAACACAATTGTTCTAATAAAGAATGTAACTTAGATATCATGTTTAAAGCTTGACAATTTTAATAGTTGAATTGCTTTATGTGGAAGTTGAATTTTATTAGAATTTGATACTGGTCTTCTCAAACTGCTAATATATGGATCAGATGAACATAGTAGTTGTCTTAGTTAGGTTGTAGAGCAAGATAACGATTAATAGATGACTTAAAAGATTGCAAATTATATGAATCAGGAAAGCAAGATGAAGAAAGCGAATTCCAAAGAACTGATGTTCGAGGAAAAAAACTAGACAAATAAGAGTTTTTGGAGCACTTAAGAACAGTAACAGTAAAAGGATGAGACTTAATTGAATGACAAAAAACACGAGAATGAATTTTAGTAGATGGCACAAGAGACGCTAGCTCTTTAGAGCAGTGTCCATTATAGTATTTGTAGAAAAGAGAAAGAGAAGCAACATTACGATGATGTGACAGAGGTTGAAGGTTGGCTGCAAGAGCAGGCCCAACTATGTTTACAACGCATTTTTGCACCTTGTCTAAAAGAGAAAGGGCATCATTAGAAGATCCGCCCTAGATATGGCAACAGTATTCTGTACAAGGTCGGATTTGAGATTTATAGAGATAGAGAATAGAATCCAGATATGAGATAGAGAATAGAATCCAGAGTAAGAAAGTGTCGAGTTCGATAAAGAACAACTTTAGCAGATGCTAATTTTGCAACGGATTTGATATAAGGTTTCCAAGAAAGATCAGAAGTGAGAGTTAATCTTAGAAGATGAAGGGTAGATGACTCATCGAGTACATTACCGTTCATAAATATAGGAAGGTCTAAATAATTGAGATAACGGTTGGCTGAAAAAAATTGAGTTTTATCTGAATTAAAGTTCACCAGCCACTGTGAGCCCCACGCTGTGGCAGAAGTGAGATCCTTTTCAAGCTCAAATGCCCCCTGCAAGCAATCAGAGGGAGTTGGCTTCTTATTGTGACAGGAATAAATGGTAGTATCATCAGCGAAGAATGCCACCTTAGATGTGAGAATATCTGGAAGATCGTTAATGTAAATTAAAAAGAGAATAGGGCCAAGGATTGAACCTTGAGGAACCCCTGAGGTTACAGAATAAGAAGAAGAGTGCTATCCATCAAGGACAACTTTTATACTACGATTGGAAAGAAAGGATTCAATAATCTTAAAGATGTTTCCAGATACACCATAAGAAGAAAGCTTATGGAGAAGACCAGATTCCCTAAAGAAATAACATACAGTGTTTGCTATCATTACTAGTGCCAGAGCCATTAGCTTTAGGCATATCAACAACCAAACCAAGTTTTCAATTAATTTGCATTGAAATTCATTCTTAATTTTTTTTAAAGA